GCCTGTAACATCGTTCAGCATGACCGGTTTGGTGGTGGGTCAGTGATGGTCTGGGGAGGCATTTCCATGGAGGGACGCACAGACCTCTGCAGGCTAAACAATTGCACCCTGACTGCCATTGGGTATCGGGATGAAATCATTGGACCCATTGTCAGACCCTATGCTGGTGCAGTGGGTCCTGGGTTCCTCCTGGTGCACGACAATACCCGGCCTCATGTGGCGAGAGTATGCAGGCAGTTCCTGGAGGATGAAGGGATTGATACCATTGAATGGCACCCACAATCGCCTGACCTAAATCCAATAGAACACCTCTGGGACTTTATGTTTCGGTCCACCCGACGCTGCCAGGTTGCACCTCAAACTGTCCAGGAGCACAGTGATGCCCTGGTCCAGATCTGGGAGGAAATGCCCCAGGACACCATCCGTTGTTTCATTAGGAGCATGCCCCAACCTTGTCAGGCATGCATACAAGAAAGTGGGGGCCATACAAACTACTGAGTACCATTTTGAGTTGATGCAATGAAATTTTAGCAAAATGGACTAGCCTGCTGCATCATTTTTTTCACTTTGATTTTTGGGGTGTCTTTGAATTCAGCCCGCTGTAGGTTGACAATTTTCATTTCCATCAAATGATGTGGCATCCTTTCATTCCTAACACATTACCTAGTCCATATCAGTATAGATATCCTGCATGATATTTTTCCCCATTGAGATCTGAGATCTGTGTTTTCAAAGTGTTCCTTTAATTTTTTGAGCAGTGTAGTTTTTTGTTGATATTTTGAATTAGATTTTATTTTATTTGCTGTTCGTGTTCATTTTAGTTTAAGTTTTAGCATTTTCTAAACATGTCTATATAGTTTTTCATTTTAATATTTATAATTTTTATTTCAGTTTTAGTTTATTTATTTCAGTAAGTTAAACTACATGAAAATTAGAAATATTGCCTTGGAAATACGCTAAAATAAAATATTCCAGTTTAAGTTAACATTTATTTTATTTTAACAAACAAAATTTTTTTTTTATGGTTTTAGTTTTAGTTAACTAATTATTTAATATATTAAAATAGAGAACAGTTATTACTGTATTTTTTTATAAAATATATGCAGCCTTGGTGAACCTCAAACTTTTGAATGCTAGTGTACTATATGAACCATTTAACTTTATTTCCATGTCACAAAGACTTTAGTATGTTACATGTTTTGATGACAGGCAGACTGCATGATTACCATTTTAAAAACAGTCATGAAATGCAGATGGCTGTTAAGTGATTCATAATCTACATAAAATGTAAACTATAAATATTTAATATCAAACTGGGTGACAATATTCAATGTGTATGCTCTCCTACTATTATGCATTATTCAACAACTTTGGAGTGTTTGGAATGTTGGGTAAGTTTTGTATCCAACTATAAATAGGCACAAGATTCTCTTGGAAAAAAAAACATGTGGTAGACCATTAGGATTGTAATGACTAATTCAGCTCACTTCTGAACAGCCACTTTCATTACATGGAGGTTTGATAAGTTCTAAACAGATCAATGCAATTGGAGCACCATTGTCTGGTCATGTCTTCAACCTCTGCTGGCATGAAAAAAAGAGGAATGTGAATGAGGGAAAACAGCAGCGCTATTTTTGTACCCAACTATGAAAGGACACACAATTCTCTAAGTCAAAAAGATGCTTGGTGGATCTTAAAGCACATCACTATTAAAATGATCCAAATAGAACCAAAAAGAGTTGAACTGAACTAAAATTACTTCTTGTAAGATTACTTTGCAATAAGGTTCAATCTGTTAACATTAGCCAATGCATTAGCTATCATGAACTAACATTTTTACAGCCATTTAGTGTTGCGTTATAAACATACATTACAACTGTTCATAGTTATTTCATGTTTGTTCATAATACATTAATGTTAATGAATGTAGCTTGAAATGTTACAAATGCGTTAAAATATGTAGAAATGAACATTAACCTACAATGCGGTCACTGTTCATGTTACCTAATAGATTAATGTTATGATGTAACAGTAGCAGTGCTAGATCCTTTCTTCTATATTGTGATTTACATACAACTATGAATGTATAACCAACCGTTGCTTCACTGGAAGATTAATTTATGATATTTTAATAAAAAATGATACGGTCAAAAAACAAACAAACCTTGAATGAATCGTTCACAATAAGATCAACTGTAAGCATTGAGCAAATAGGGTAACATTTCATTTCATGCCAACTTAAATGCAAATATACTGAACCTTTGTAACCATTCCACTCATCTCAGAACAACCAGTTTCAAAATATGAAGATTTAAGATGATATTGGAACATCATTGTCTAGTAGTGTCTTTTTCAACCTCATCTAGAATAAAAACAGATGTGAGAATGAAGAGGGAAATGCATGTTACCAAGCCTAAAACAATCACAAATGTTCAATAATACTGAATTATATTATTCTAAATTGAAGGATAATGGCTTAATGCAACCTATGGCAAAGAGTTGTAGGTGTGCACAAAAAAAAGTCGTTACATCCATGTTTGACTCACCAGTGTACCTCAGTCTAAACATTTATGTACACTCTAAAAAAAAACGATGGTTCTTTTAAGGTTCTTTACATGTAGGTAATGGTTCTATTTAGAACCATAGCATCCTAAAGAACCCTTTTATGCTGAATTTTGGGGTGTCTTTGAATTCAGCCCTCTGTAGGTTGACAATTTTCATTTCCATCAAATGATGTGGCATCCTTTCATTCCTAACACATTACCTAGTCCATATCAGTATAGATATCCTGCATGATATTTTTCCCCATTGAGATCTGAGATCTGTGTTTTCAAAGTGTTCCTTTAATTTTTTGAGCAGTGTAGTTTTTGTTGATATTCTGAATTAGATTTTATTTTATTTGCTGTTCGTGTTAATTTTAGTTTAAGTTTTAGCATTTTCTAAACATGTCTATATAGTTTTTCATTTTAATATTTATAATTTTTATTTCAGTTTTAGTTGATTTATTTCAGTAAGTTAAACTACATGAAAATTAGAAATATTGCCTTGGAAATACGCTAAAATAAAATATTCCAGTTTAAGTTAACATTTATTTTATTTTAACAAACAAAATTTTTTTTTATGGTTTTAGTTTTAGTTAACTAATTATTTAATATATTAAAATAGAGAACAGTTATTACTGTATTTTTTTATAAAATATATGCAGCCTTGGTGAACCTCAAACTTTTGAATGCTAGTGTACTATATGAACCATTTAACTTTATTTCCATGTCACAAAGACTTTAGTATGTTACATGTTTTGATGACAGGCAGACTGCATGATTACCATTTTAAAAACAGTCATGAAATGCAGATGGCTGTTAAGTGATTCATAATCTACATAAAATGTAAACTATAAATATTTAATATCAAACTGGGTGACAATATTCAATGTGTATGCTCTCCAACTATTATGCATTATTCAACAACTTTGGAGTGGAATGTTGGGTAAGTTTTGTATCCAACTATAAATAGGCACAAGATTCTCTTGAAAAAAAAAAACACGTGGACCATTAGGATTGTAATGACTAATTCAGCTCACTTCTGAACAGCCACTTTCATTACATGGAGGTTTGATAAGTTCTAAACAGATCAATGCAATTGAGAGCGTCATTGTCTGGTAGTGTCTTCAACCTCCACTGGCACAAAAACAGAGGAATGAGAATGAGGGAAAACAGCAGGGCTATTTTTGTACCCAACTATAAAAAGGCCACACAATTCTCTTGAGTCAAAACATGCTTGGTAGATCTTGAAGCACATCAGTATCAAAATGATCAAAATAGAACCAAAAATAGTTGAACTGAATTAAAAATTACTTCTTGTAAGATTACTTTACAGTAAGGTTCAACTTGTTAACATTAGCTAATGCATTAGGTATCATGAACTAACCTTGATTTACAACTTGTGTTGATTTATAAAAATGCAGTACAACTGTTCATTGCATAGTTATTTCAATAATTAACGTAACGTGAAATGTTAAAAATGTGTTAAATTTGTAGAAATGAACTTTAACCTAGACTAACTAACGCTGTAAAAGTATTGGTAACTGTTTATTACTATTATGCATTATTCAACAACTTTGGAGTGTTTGGAATGTTGGGTAAGTTTTGTATCCAACTATAAATAGGCACAAGATTCTCTTGAAAAAAAAAAACACGTGGACCATTAGGATTGTAATGACTAATTCAGCTCACTTCTGAACAGCCACTTTCATTACATGGAGGTTTGATAAGTTCTAAACAGATCAATGCAATTGAGAGCGTCATTGTCTGGTAGTGTCTTCAACCTCCACTGGCACAAAAACAGAGGAATGAGAATGAGGGAAAACAGCAGGGCTATTTTTGTACCCAACTATAAAAAGGCCACACAATTCTCTTGAGTCAAAAACATGCTTGGTAGATCTTGAAGCACATCAGTATCAAAATGATCAAAATAGAACCAAAAATAGTTGAACTGAATTAAAAATTACTTCTTGTAAGATTACTTTACAGTAAGGTTCAACTTGTTAACATTAGCTAATGCATTAGGTATCATGAACTAACCTTGATTTACAACTTGTGTTGATTTATAAAAATGCAGTACAACTGTTCATTGCATAGTTATTTCAATAATTAACGTAACGTGAAATGTTAAAAATGTGTTAAATTTGTAGAAATGAACTTTAACCTAGACTAACTAACGCTGTAAAAGTATTGGTAACTGTTTATTATACCTAACAGATTAGAGTTGTCTTGTAAGTACATTATGGAAGTGCACTTTTTTTTCTCCTGGAAGCACAAGATCCTTTTTTCGGATTGTGATGCACATCTGACTATGAATGTGTATACAACTGTTGTTTCACTGGAAGATCTATTTATGATTTTTTAATTGAAAATTACGAGGCCAAAAAAAAAAAAGCCTGCATGGACGAATCGTTCACAATATGATTAATATTAAGAATTTAGAAAATAGGGTAAAATTATATTTCATGCCAACTTTAACTAATGCTAATATTACCATTCCACTTATCTCAGAACAACCAGTTTCAAAATATGAAGATTTAAGATGATACTGGAACATTGTTGTCTAGTAGTGTCTTTCAACCTCATTGAGAATAAAAACAGATATGAGAATGAAGAGGGAAATGCATATTATCATGCAAAAGCCTAAAACAATCATTAATGTTCAATAATACTGAATTATATGGTTCTAAATTGAAGGATAAAGGCTCAATGCAACCTATGGCAAACAGCTGTAGTTGTGCGCAAAAAAAGTCTTTACATCCAATGTTTGACCCACCAGTTTACCTCAGTTTAAACATTTACTATACTTACTCTCCATGTCCTGAGTAGTACATCCAACTTCCTTACTGAGAACCAACTGAGCTTTTGTGGGGTGATTTGGTCTTGGTCATGCACAATGGAAGAGCAACAGACAAGTGTCTCGTCTTTCTGTCTCTGTATGTCTCTCTTAATTGTCTTCTTTCGGAAAGCGTCCTGTTTTGTTGAGAACAGTACTTAGTTCATTAATGAGGTTTTTTGGCAACTGCACACCTCTGTTGGGCAACACAGCCTTCTTGTGTGATAGCTGGGTGAGAGCGCTGGGGTCTTGTTGAAGTGATGGTCTACGCAGAGACTGGAGTGTGTCATCAATCACCATTTTAAGCCCGGAGACACTCGGAGTTCCTTCACTGCTTGCCAATTTATGCATCAAGTCCGGTTGGTTGCTCACATCTGTGGTCATTGGGTTTCGTGTATTTGAACCTTCTATACTTGTAGTGAGGACTGACTTCCTTTTAGCCTGCAGAACAGGGGGAAGTACATGGATATACATGGCTATATGAGTCAAAGGCTGTTTCGTATGCAGTGGATAAACTTGATGCCCAATTCCAACAACCATTTTTCTGGACAAGACGACATGGATATGGTTTAACTGACAACAAAGATGGAGATCAGAGCTGATCTACTGCAAACAGTGCTGGCCTTTAGAAGTGTTCATTGAAGCACAAAAGTCATTAAGCAACATTAAATTAAAAGGTTTGTTAAGTATTTATGACATTTATGTGAGTGTAGAGCAGGTTTAGTGCTGACCTCTCTCTGATGTTTGGCTGTGCTGGTCTTTGCAGTGCTGTAAGTGGATGTTCTTCCTCTGCTCAGGTTATAAGGTAACGATGCACTCTGCTTTAGGTCTTTAGGCCATAAGTCACTGGCATGCTGCAAATACATTTACATTTAAGCATTTACAAGTAGCTTTTTTCCTACTTTGTGTTGAAGATTTACATTTGATCAGTCTATGCAGAACACACGATCTTGTTGATGTCAATGCAATGCTCTACTGTTTGAGCTAAAAGAAACAGGGCAATTTCTAGGCAATCAAATATTTTACTGGTGAACGTTACTAGAAAAACCCTATAGGAAATAACAGTGTTCGCTAGACAGCAAAGGTACAGAAACTTGTCATAATGTCTACTCCACCATAAAAAGTTTGGGTTGATTTTTTTAAAAGAAATACTTCAATTCAGATCGGTACATTAATCACTGATGAAAAGTGACAGTAAAGGCATTTAAAATGTTACAAAAAGAATTTTCAAATTTCTATTCTTCAAAGAATCCTTGAAAAAAATGTATAATGATGTCCACAAAAATATTAAGCAGCACAACTGTTTTCAACACAAATAATAAGAAGAAATGTTTCTTGAGCACTAAATAAGAGAATAGAATGATTTCTGAAGGATCATGTGATACTGAAGACTGGAGTTATAGCTGCTGACAATTCACCTTTGAAATCAGGAATAAATTACATTTTAAAATATATCAAATTCAAATTTAAAAACAGTTATATATATTTCACAATGAATGCAGCCTTGATGAGCATACAAGACCTATTTCAAAAACATTCAACAATCTTACTGACAGCTAACGTGTGAACGATAGTGAATGATGTCAGCTGAACTTTAATATTAACACTTGACGTGACTATAAATAGTTAAACATATGCAAGAAAAAAAGACATTCACAATATGCAAGTATGCAAATATATGTAGGAATAAGACTATAACGAATAAGACTAAGGAATAAGAAATTAGTATGCAAATATTACACTGACATCATCACTTCCTTTTGAATGCTAAGCATTCTATATTTTCGAATTCAACAAAGTTTAATAAATAGTAAATTATTAAGTAAAACTCCTTTATAATAATGTTTTAAGGAATATCATTACTGCCTTCCAAGCACTTTATTTATATTAACTAGGATTTGATTAATTCTCATGACATTTCTAGGCCTGAAAGTCAGACTTTTACCTGATATTTGGATATTTTCCATGATAGTGGGAACTTAGGAAGAAATAGTTTCATACAGAAAATGTATACCTTACTTTTTAAGCTTTGAGTCTCAGGCAAGAGAAATGTTTAAAACTTCCATATATTCTTGAGCAGGTCTAACTAACACTAACTTTTTGACCTTAATGATGTAGGAACAAATGTGCTGGAACATTCTGGACCTATTCCTGAGCTGAACACTCACTAAGACAGTTCATACTTTCCACTGTGACTTTATGGCCTTTGAGTTGTTCTTCACGTCTACATCCTCATTTTAGCAGCAGAAGGTCTCATCTGCCTGTTCCTTTACGTACCCAGCATTGCTCGCCAGTTTCTATGGAAACCATGCCAAGCAGAATGCTGGGTGAAATGGAAGCAGCGAGAGGTTAGAAGAGTCTCAGTGCACAGAGTATCAATTAATCTACCTGCATGGACTGCACAACCGCTTTTAGTACATGTACAGTAATAATGAGACACAACAATATGTACACTGAATTATGGTACATGCCCTCCACTCCTCGTTTACTCTACCGCTTGAAGAAAAAAAAACCCTGCAGCACATCTCTGTGCCCCACCTCCCCGGAAGAGGAAAAAAATTAAGAAGCGCTTTATTTTTCTTCCTCGTATCAGTTCAAAGCCACAAAAGCAAGAATAAACCTCGACAATGAAAACAGCGAACCTGTGGGAAGTAGATAAGGGTGAGGCATTAGGACCGAAGACAGGGGCAGGAACATCTGAGAAGGTTAGAGGATTGGAGGAGAGATCTAAACAATGGCTAAATCATCTACTACAGTACTTCTCTGCCATCTCTTGCCTTTGGTTTAAGTTATTAATAGTGAATCAGCTGAGTCAGGCCCTCTGTGTGTAGTAGCGCCAGGCTTGTCTAAAGAAGAGTCTGCTGGAACCAGTGTTATTGTGGCAGTCTGCATGACCTTATTTCAGCTAAAAGACCTTTCCGGATAATGTGATTTATACTCATGGAGGATGACCTTGAAAACATTCCCTCAATTCTTAGGGCTAGTTTTCATCTAACTTTCTCTGGGAAAAGGAAATGCAGTGTTATAAAAAGGACTGTGGGGATATCATGCCCCTTGTGAAAAAGAAGCAGCACACTTCAGCATCCTAAAATTAGTACAAATAATATAATACTGAGAGACTTAAGTGTGAACAGAATGTAATGTTAACAGCATGCTAATTGCAATAAAATGAAAATGTATTATATTCAAAATTTACATAAAACCTTTGAGTGCTTTTAGACCCAATTATGTAGGACATCTTTATATGTAATTTCATAATTCCCTCTATTGTTTTTTTAAATATGGTTAAAGTTTAATGCCAAATGTACTGGCAGTCATTGATGAAAAACTAATATAACACTAAATATACTTTAATGCCATTTTTACGGAAACAGGTACAGTGGGGCAAAAAAGTATTTAGTCAGCCACCAATTGTGCAAGTTCTCCCAAAAAATGTTTGTAGCTTCATAAAAAATACCAAATTTTTCGTTGCTAAATTTGAAATAAACAGCAACTAAGTGCCAGATGTGGAACAGTACCCATCTAAAAATTACATTATAAAAAACTCTTCCCATGCCCATTTGTAACAATGTTAACTGCACATTATGAGCACTTAAAAAATGAAGAAAGCTCACCTTCACTCTGATAATGGAGGTGACCCAGTCCTGCTGAGAATCATTCCCTTTACAGCAGAAATACCTTTTTCAGGGAGGATGCAAAGGCACATATTCAGAACACTGAGGCACTCAAGTGTCCTATTTGAAATTCAGTCATGCAGTTCTGTAGTTCAAGTACTAAGCTGTACAAAACCTTAGTAAGTTTCAGGCAGAAATATTAAAAAAAGAATCTATTATTCAGTTCCAGATAAATGTTTTTCCTAAAAACCATGCTGAAGCGTGTGATTGACTGTGCAATTAGGAACAGAGTTAATTGCACTTACCACTGCTGCTTTTCAGTATAAACAGTAAAACCCCAACTGTTGAAAATTAGTCAGAAAAACAACAACAGAAAGTATTCCATTAGTTTCGCAGCATTACATTCAGGTTCTCCACATCAATGTACAACTATATTAAGCTTTTCCTGATGGAGCCACAGCCTGACCCCTTGAGAACCTCTAAAGTGCTAAGATACCATTAAATTCAGCTTAACTTTCACAGTCAGCTGACAAGCATAATAGAAAAGATGACCTATTTTGCTTGTGTAAGAGAATTATACTTTACACTCTTACAGATGTAACTGTTTTGCTGACCTACTTCTCGTTAATTTATTAAATTCATGGTTCATTGTCTAAATGGTTCAAACTAAATTCTGACCTTACACAGCATTTTAGTCATTGTGGCTGACAAACAGCTGTTATTTCCACACAAATGGTCACGCAATGAGCGTTAAAATGTGTTTCTTCAACCTCTGCCACTTTGTCCCTGGTGTTTTGTTGTTGTTGTTTTTTTAAGAAAAGAACAAAAGCATTTATTGCCTTTTATATATTGATTTTATTGCTTCACTCTGAAAACCCAGTATAAAATATGAATTCAAAACTTGATCTTATAAAATAATGAAATACAACATTTCAATATGTATAATGTGCAAATTATTTATATTAATACAACTGTCTCCTAAAAATACTTTTACTTCAATTACAGTTTCTTCAAAAGTGTCAGTGAAGAGCTTGACTGAGATGAAATATGATCATTCAAGGAAAATATTACATGTAATATAGGCATCACATTTTGTTTGGTTTCCAATTAAGCTGTATAGTCATTTTGTGATGTGTGAAAATATTACCAAATTGTGTGTGCATTAGTTTACAAAAAAACTAAAAACCTATCAATAAAATTAGCCTTAGAAAACAGCCTGTCACAGGACTTATTTAAATTGTGGCCACATTTGATAAATTCATTTTTATGTTTTAGGAAAATCATGGCCACCAGTGGCGCCTGCAGGTGTACGGCTGTATGCACTGTGCGTACCATGAGCGCTCAGACTGACCTGAGATTTGCCCCGCAAACATTTCAGCAGTTATCGTGTGTCCCGATAACTGCATAGATATACTTCGTAGACATCTTTAATCTCTAATAACTCCATTCTGCTGTCTGTTGTCTGTGTTTCTTTGTCTGAATATGGCACTTATCACATGCTGTGTGGTATCGGCTTTTGGTATCGGGGCATTTTAACGAGTACGAGTACAGGAGCTCAGTATCGGGCCAGTATCGTATTGGTGCATCCCTAGTGGCCACACATTTTTTTTGCCGAATGAATTCTTAATTAACGCTCACGTTATTTTGTTTTTTTCCCTGCATGTCATGTGCAGGCTCCAACAATGTGTAAAATGTCATTTCCACCACACGTTATCAAACACCATACACCATTTGAAATGTGGTGAAATTGTTACTGTGGTAGAAATGTTCATGACGGTTCCTGTGATGCACGTATGTCCACTGTTGATCAAAGTAAACATGAGAGTGTGAAAATGAGTTAATATTCTAGTCCAGGAAACAAAAGTGTCTATAGTCGAAGAAACACCCTCAAATGAACAAAAGCTAAATAGTATGCATGTCCTCAATGAAACATTCAAATAAAATTATGTGCAAACTGATTGAAAGTCATTTAAGGGTAAATTCTATTGTAAGAATCATGCCGTGGATACATTCACAAGGAAAATAATGAATAAATGATCATTAGCAAAAAAAGCGCACTCATAAATTACACTACAGCCATAGATTACAAAAACGCAACATTATTGAAATGAAACAAATCCACAGTTAACAATTTTCCCAGCAGGAGAGAGAAAAACATAGTACAGGGTATTTGCTAAATTACATTTAATGAATTTTGTAATTGTGAGATATAAATCTGCTTTCAGATTGACTGTGATAGTCTTGTTTCTGAGGGGGGCATTTGGCACTAAACCAAGCAGCTCTGTGTGTTTGGCACAAGAGATAAAGACTGAACTCTGAGCTCATCTGAGCACAAAACCTAGAGTTAATGTCAGAACATTTATGAATCGATCTTAATTACACATTTAGGATTATTAATACATCTTTCAGTGTGGCCACACTAATTTTGAATAATTTGTTTAATACCACTGTCTGTGGGCTCTACGTGCTCCGGATTAAATCAAGTATCATAATGAGGGTTTGGGCAAATTGTTACAAAAAGCACCAGTTTGTTGATGAACTTGAGAAAGACACGATTAGGCAGCACTTTTTTTAAAATGTGAAAGATAAATAATTGTGTCAAATGGTTTTTAGTGCACTAGTTAAAAGACCATTACCTGCTTGTTGGTTTCAACTTCCTCCGTAGCCCTAAGTAACATTTAACAGACTTTAACGGAGCCTCTCTTTCTGGTTTGGTACTCTGTGGAAACAATAGCACATGTTTCAAAATCAACCCAGGGCTTTTATTAAAAAAATAATGCTGTGTCTACACATATTTTAAAGTACATACAACATAGCTCAAGATTAATGCTGCTTTATTCCAACGCTATATATCTATCAAAATCCTCTCCAAACAATCAGCACCACTAAAACTGGTTCACATACTGTATGCAGAAAAGTAGCTGCTTTATTTCCCCCAGCTCATTCACTTGAATCAAAAGGGGAAAAAACTGCAATTTCCTGTTTACAGCTGTTGGGAGCCCAAGGGCATTGTGTAAACTAGCATGTGTCGACAACACTGTGTTGTTGCCTGGAAGGGATATACTTCGTACGTAATGCACTGCAAAACACGAGCGGCTCAGGCGAACACATCGACGACAGCAAAATGAGATCTAACCGAGAATCCTAACTTACAAAAAAAGAAAGAAACCGAAAACAAAGGCATCCGAATATCAATTAAATTTCTGCTTCACAGCCAATTCCCACCTTCTTCACTTGATAATTAGCTGAATATTCCGCAGCAGCCAGAAATTACACTAATTAAGGAAAGAACAGCCTTCATTCAGAGTGCCTTCGCCTCTCTGCCTTCCCTCCATCTCTCTCTCTCTCACACACACACACACACACACACACATCCACACTTCGCTCAAATATCAGTTATTAACACATCCTGCACTCTTTAGGAGACTGTGTCTTAGCTCACGGAGCGTGTGCCCCTGAGGACGATCAGATCGGCGTGTGCACAGAGTGAATAAAGCAAGTATGAGGAGATATTACAGAGAGAGAACCTAACAGACTGCAGTCGTTTAAATCACTGTACTCATTTCAGAGGGTATGCAAAGTCCCACATTACTTTAAGTCAAAATGAAAATAGCCATTAAGGGTTTATTTGTTTCCTTTTTTTCCCCTCCACGCTTATTACAAGCGGGCCCCTGCGATTGGCCCAAAGCAGGTAATTTCACATCTGCTGTGTTTTTTAATTACTATTTCATCTGTAAAGGCATGCTAAGAAAACAAACAGAGCTAATATGAAATGCCACGGCGAAAAATCTACAGATCGGCGTGTGCACAGAGTGAATAAAGTAAGTATGAGGAGATATTACAGAGAGAGAACCTAACAGACTGCAGTCGTTTAAATCACTGTACTCATTTCAGAGGGTATGCGAAGTCCCACATTACTTTAAGTCAAAATGAAAATAGCCATTAAGGGTTTATTTGTTTCCTTTTTTTTCCCCTCCACGCTTATTACAAGCGGGCCCCTGCGATTGGCCCAAAGCAGGTAATTTCACATCTGCTGTGTTTTTTAATTACTATTTCATCTGTAAAGGCATGCTAAGAAAACAAACAGAGCTAATATGAAATGCCACGGCGAAAAATCTAAATTGGTAAACTGGCGACTGCTGCAGGGCCGCTGGCGAACAGAGATACTGCACAGAGGTTGATCCCGATGAACAACAGGGACGGAGATATTTAAATATTACCAAGGGCAGAGATATTTAAAGACCATTCTAAGGATATTTTGAACCATTCTAAGAGTGAAAATGTAGGAGACTTACTTTTATGTCTTTGTATAACAGCAGTTTTTTGTCTTGTAGTACCAGGTATCGGTCCTGAAACTTATTCCCCAAAAGCAGTTTGGAAGAACCGTCTTTGAATTTGAGTTGCTCTCCTTTAATGAAATCTTTCAGTTTATCTGTCACAAACAAAGAACACCACAAAGCAAGCATATTGAGTCATACCATGAACTATTTATGAGACAGAACATACAAACTATACATATACTGCAGCACTGCACCAGTGTAGCCCCGCTACTTCAAACTCTAGCAAGGTGTTATGCATTTTTAAAATGGCTAAAGTTGTACTGAAAAGCAAGTGAAATCTCATCTGCAACACATTTCCAGCTTAACACATTTGAGAGACTAGCACATACACATCCTGCCACATGAATAAACCTTTGCATCACAGGACTGCTTAATATATATTAATATCTTTAGTGAGGCATGTAGAGAAGCTATTACTCAGCGCAGGTAGAAAATTATGATTTCTGGCTGTCGTTACTGATGGTGTCAATTGGAAACCAAAAAGAGTGTAAATGCACTTTCAAAAAAAAACCCTGCTTTGCTTTTCTGCAACTATGCCATTTATCATCAAGAGTGAAAAATTGATCAGGAAATTGGTAGAGACTCTAAAAAGTTATGAAATTAGGCCAGAATCAGAAAACTTTATGACTGATAGTAACTAGTGCTAGGCGATTTATCAGACGATTTATTATATATTTGCAATGATTTTGTTGGCCACAAAGTTAATTCAGTTAATCGATTTAAAACTCAGATTTATGGATTTATTAGGGTCATCACCTGAAAATATTCACAATCTCCATGTGGGATGTTTCATATGATAAAATAAACATGAGAGAACTGAGACAGATGTCTGCAGTTTTAATAGCATCTCTTATTTAAATCTCAATAGCAAACATTGGTGATATGGTAAAGTCTGATTCATTTAATCAGTTGAAACTGTCTGATTTTTACTTTTTAGTTATTTATATATTTTAGTCCTCAGCTGAAATTGTTGGCATTGGCATTTTAATGTTTTAGTACAAATATGTTAAAATGTAAAAAAAAAATTGTTTTATTAAATAAACAGTATCATTCTTCCTTGTGTTCATTTAGTATACTATATACTAACAAGGCTAAAAAAATATGAGATCTATATTAAAAAAATAAGCACCGCTCTAAGAATAACCACAAGATAATCTTTGAATGTGGCTCCAATTAAACACTGACTGTAAATGTAATAAAACAATAAGGTTGTTTAATCTGTCGATCATAGTTTAGAGTGATCTGCTGGGGTGCATTAGGACATTCATTGCTGGTACCTGAGTTGGAATCTGTCATTTTAGAACCAGAATATTTCTTAATGAGCAGGAAGGCCGAGCTGGGATCCTCCAGAGAGCTCCACTCCAATACCTGCTCCAGAATCTTCTCGTTGTAGTGTAAGGGCCGCTCTGAGCACAGAGAGAAATGATGAACGCAAAGCTCCATCTGTTTGTTTTATTAAATAAACAGTATCATTCTTCCTTGTGTTCATTTAGTATACTATATACTAACAAGGCTAAAAAAATATGAGATCTATATTTAAAAAATAAGCACCGCTCTAAGAATAACCACAAGATAATCTTTGAATGTGGCTCCAATTAAACACTGACTGTAAATGTAATAAAACAATAAGGTTGTTTAATCTGTCGATCATAGTTTAGAGTGATCTGCTGGGGTGCATTAGGACATTCATTGCTGGTACCTGAGTTGGAATCTGTCATTTTAGAACCAGAATATTTCTTAATGAGCAGGAAGGCCGAGCTGGGATCCTCCAGAGAGCTCCACTCCAATACCTGCTCCAGAATCTTCTCGTTGTAGTGTAAGGGCCGCTCTGAGCACAGAGAGAAATGATGAACGCAAAGCTCCATCTGACTTCTTTCACAATTGATTGCGACTCCACAGAACAGAAAGGCCAGAAACATATGCTATGCAAATATGTTAACACTTCTAGCTTCTAGCTACGCAACCTCGACTTCACACATCATTGTGCTTCAAAACATGTCAGAACGCAATTCATAGTATGTTTGATGGACTGCTGGTTACAATATGGAGAGCGGACATTTGTGTAAATGTTGTGTAAATTTATACAATATGTTCCTGGACAAACATACAAAAGAGTCTCTAGAATCTAAAAAAATGAATCAGTAGGACTGTATATTCTTACATACAGATTACATAAAAAAAAAAAAAAAACAATCCTCCTCATCATCACCACTCCCCAAAAAACTGTTTTTGCTTTGGGTTTGTCCTCCACACAAGCATAATTATGTGGTGCAAATTTGTAATTATCGTCAGCCAATCTGACTATGATTAGAAAACACACTCAAGTGCAAAATAGATCCATTATCAAGTTGTAATTTGTAAAAAGGAAAACACAATGCTCGCTATTGGCAAAAATCACTCTTACACCACCTGTCTCTCCCTCCCACCAATGCATCACAATCTGTTAATAGTTTCGCATAACCCTCATGAAATAATAATAGTATTAATCATGTGCATTCACTTAGCTATTGAAGCATTTTAATGTGTGAGCCTTAGAGGAGCAACATTAAATGCTCTAATAATTTGCTATACACTTGCTAAAAAGATGCTTTATGTAGAATTCACTCCCAAGTTAAATTTACTGATACTGATTTCAACAGTTTTTTATCGTTTAATTGTAAGATTTAACAGCAGCAGGACCCTTACCCATCTCTCCATTCTCAATGACCTCAAAAGTGGTCCAGAGATCTTGAGCTTTGACCTCCATCCCCTTCATCTCCAGAGTGCTGATGGCAAGCTCGTCTGACCTCATGCTAGGAGACACCTTATAGACACAGACATCAGTATTATTCTGTTTTCTGTGTTTGAAATGTTCAAGACTTCATTGTCTTGTGCGAAAGGATTTATCTACTTTTGCTGGAGGAGAAATGAGAGGAAAATAGGAAAAAATATGTCAAAGAAGTGTCAAGGGAAAAAAACACTCTGAAGCAACCTCTATTAACTTAGGTTTACCTTGACTACTGATAAAACACAATTACTCTCACAATTAAATCAGACATGCCTTTGATTAACTGCGGTTTGATTTAGTCTGTGGCAGAATACCCTCTAGGTTCAGCCAAACAGTCACACACACACCACAGAGAGCGAGGGAAACAAACCTTGATTAAACAGCACTTCTCTGGCTGCTTTTTTTCTAAGTAGACTTCAAATATCAGGTCACCAGCAGGAGAGAACTGCAAACACAGGTAACACAGAGAGACAAACACACACACACACACAACTTTAAATACATACGTAATTCATATAAATATATAGAAAGAAAGAAAGAAAGAAAGAAAGAAAGAAAGAAAGAAAGAAAGAAAGAAAGAACACAGCTTATCTAACTAAGCACCCAACTGTACAGCAGTCTTTGTGGATATAATACAAAAGCAATCAGCAAATCAGCAAGTTCATTTTTTTCTAAGTAGACTTCAAATATCAGGTCACCAGCAGGAGAGAACTGCAAACACAGGTAACACAGAGAGACAAACACACACACAACTTTAAATACATACGTAATTCATATAAATATATAGAAAGAAAGAAAGAAAGAAAGAAAGAAAGAACACAGCTTATCTAACTAAGCACCCAACTGTACAGCAGTCTTTGTGGATATAATACAAAAGCAATCAGCAGCCCATTCAGTTCAGACCAGCGTCTGTGTGTGTCTGACTAAATGACACACAGCTGGAGTCCCACACATCATTTAGCAGCATTACACAACAAAAGCTGGCAAACATCTTAGCTCATGTAAACCACAGATTAAAGCTCCTCTTCTAAACGAATGAAACTGTGTTGGCAAAATGTATTTAAATGTAGCGTAAATGACACATATGCTTCTGTAACTTTCTATAAGAACAGTGTATAAACACTCTTATTCAGATGTTCTGTGTCTTATACAACGAAACGTGTTTTTTTTTTTGCAGCCAGGGAATTGTACTAGTCAAAAGTTTGAACACAATTAGCCGAATACATGTTTCTACTATCTGATTTAGAGCGTTGGGTCTCAACCAAGGGGGCTGAGACACACTGCGGGGGCCTCAACAAACAGGGTGACTTAAAATGTTTTCATTACATTAAAAATAATTAAGTTAAATGCTATGTTAGTTGGCTAATATGTGAGCACATCTGGATACTGTGCAGATGTAATATATGTGTTTAAATATATAAACCAGTATGAAGGGCCAAATAATGTGTAGGAGAATAGGTGGACACTGAGTCAAAAAGGTTGAGAAACACTAATCTAAAGGCTTATGCTTAAAATGAGTTTTTCCTATACATAAATGTGACCCGGGACCACAAAACCAATCATAAGGGTCCATTTTTTTTAAATTGAGATTTATACATTATCTGAAAGCTGAATAAATGAGCTTTTCATTGATGTATGAAATGGATGAGAAATGTTGATGTTTGTTAGGATAGGAAAATATTTGGCTGAGATACAACTATTTGAAAATATGGAATCATTTTTTAGAAAAAAATCTAAATATTATAAGGAAAATAGCCTTTAAAGCTGTCCAAAGGAAGTTCTTAGCAATGCATATTACTAATCAAAAATGAAGTTTTGATATATTTACAGTAGGAAATTTACAAAATATCTTCATGGAACATGATCTTTAATTAATATCCTAATGATTTTTTAAATAAATTTTTTTTTTGATAATTTTTACCCATGCAATGTATTATTGGCTATTGCTACAAAAATACCCATGTGACTTATGACCGGTTTTGTGGTCCAGGGTCACAAATGGGCCAGTGACATAACAGTCATGTTCGGTCCAGATCTATGATGTTTGTGAAAAATACATTAAAAATGCATTTCAAATAAAAATGACCTAAATTCATCTCTTCTGTGGTGATCATGCTTGTAATTCATGAATTTTGACTGGTATTGTATTGTGTTTCAGTGTGTGAATGTGAATGTGTTTAAGCGTTCAAAAGCTTCAAGTATTTTTCATGGGTCAGTTCCAGCATTGTCCTTGCCCAAACTTGAACACATTCACTGAAACTTTTTAAACTTGGACAGTAGCAAACAAAGGAAGATTAATTTGTTTTTCAGCTTATCTGAACAAATTGTTCCTTATGATGCCAGCGAGGTATAAAGCAGGAGACAGAAAGGTTAGGTAGCACAAAGAGCTTGATGTTTGCTCTAATTTGCTCAAAACAATACCAATACAGGTCAAAGTGATTCTGTGACCTGTAAAAACGTACACTCATATATGCCAACACAAGGAGGTTAAAAGCTAAATGCACACATTTATGGCCTGTAACATCATGCTTTATAAAAACCCGCAAACACACACATACACACCTATTTAACAAAAAGGTTAAAAGGGGTGACTTACTGTGGTGTCCTTCCACCTGGTGATAAAGCTGTTTTCTTTCTCCATTTGCCTAACCTGCTCTTCACTGACCTGTTTTAATGGACCCACACAGATAAACACAGATTAAAGCCCCTGTGCACAGTAAACAGACCTGCTCACATCCCCAACAGCAAAGTCAGGGCATTTCAACTCTTAAAAAAGCATCCCATAAGTGGACAAGTTTGCAATGGCATGTCAGAAAACTTAATTGAATGGTGACTAACATACATAAGTGGAATATAAGTTGTCAGATGATTTTAATATAAAATGGCCAATAACTGATATCTAATGATGCAAGCTCATTATCCTATTTTTGCATTAAGATTCTAAATGTAAATACACTGGAAAAGAAATAATGCTCATTTAAAGCTAATCTTTAACACTGTTAAATGTAAGCTTAAAAATATTCATACTGCACATTACGTTGTGATGCTTAAATGTATTTATAAGATATAGAATGAATGATTTTTAAATCTTTATTTTTATAACAATACCTTGAATTTATTTGAGATATTTACTTAGTTACTTACTCCGTTTTACCACATTGTCAGATTTGTAAAAAAAAAAAAAAAAAAATGTTAACATATATAGTAAACTTTTAATTTACACCTGCATGCCTTGGTGTTATGCTGCATATTACTTTAGTGACATTTCCCATATTTTTCTCTAGATCATGGCTGTTAGCAACACTAAACTTCACGTTTCACACGTTCTCCCTCTCTCCAAAAGTACAAGCGTGTGTATGTGCGAAGCCAGGGGCCTATGAATGTACGAGCGGGCCGAGGGGGAATTAGCACAGCGCAGCACTGTAAATCCCATTACAGAGACACGCGTCCAAGTGCAACACGAACACCGTCCCCTTCTTCACACACTTACACTAAAGCTGCGCATTTCGCTGTGTTGAATGGAAATACTTTTCACTGTTCATAGCACCATGGAGTTTGTCATATATACAGCTTGCCAGTTTGTTATAGCCCTCTTCAAATGAGGGGTTCAACACAGACAGGAGTCTATTTTCATGAGTAATAATTCGAATGGACAAGAAGATCAATGTCTCATGTCCATTTCTTCAGTAATAAAGAGACCACAATTGACTACTAAATCAAGTTCTTGTGTATTAATAAAAAGGGTATAACAGTATAAATTATTAATTAACCCAACACACCTGTGAAAACAACACTGTGAAATGTCTCCGTGAATATGAGGGGAATGAATATTGGAGCAGTCTCATGTTTAGCAGGTCATTGGGACTCAAGCGACAGAGATCAACTAGGTCTGGATCCTGAGAGAGGACACACGTTTAACTCACAGAGAAGAGCTGGATGTAATTGTTGATGAGGTCTTCCACCACACGGGTCTCCTGAGCTGTGTGTCCTTCCGTTTGAAACAGGCATGAGGAGAAAATACACGCCAGATTCTGCATGTTCATCTGGTTGATATGCGAGCACCTCTGGATCCTGTGCAGATATAATATATGTGCATAAATATGGGAATATTTCTGGAAAAAGACCTACATAAATCATAGATGAGTAAACACACCATCCATACAAATATATTCTTCTGAATTCAATGAATTCTGTGTGTAATTTGTAATAACTGTTGCAGCTCTTGCATGCAAGCTCAAGCTTAAGTGAAGTAGTATAGCAGTATAACTATTTTATGATGCCTAAATTAAATTGTAATATTTACATAGATTGACTTATGTATTTTTTAATCATTTAATTTATTTAATTACACTACTGTTGAAAATGTTGCTGTCTGTAGGATTTTTTTTTAATGTCAAGTCAGTGAAACCGTTATATTGTGAAATATTATTGAAATTGAACATAACCATTTTCTATTTTTATGTTTAAAAATGTATTTTATTCCTGAGATGCAAATCAGAATTTATATAAGCCATTCCTCCATTCTTCAGAACCACGGGATCCTTCAGAAATCAACGTAATACTTTGATTTGCTGTTTAAGAAATTGTGCTATAATTATCAATGCTGAAAACAGTTGTTCAGCTTAATATTTTTGTGGAAACCACGAGGAATAGAACATTTTCAAAACAACAGTATTTATTTGAAATAGATTTTTTTAACGCAAAAGTCTTTACTGCCTTTAAACTCAAAGTATTTATGTAGTATGTCCAAGTTAAAAAAAAAATAATTCTTACTGATGCCAATTTTTTACGGTATTGTAAATACAGCACTTATCATATTGGAAAAACATATTTGATCAGAAAAGTTTTTGTTGGCACTGTGTTATTGCTAGCAGAACTTTAAGGCAGTTTTATGAAGAAAGCTATGGCAGGAAGTGAGTAGACTTAAATAAAAGCACATATAAGCAACAAAAGAATGCAGGCAGGTGTAAATGCTGTGTAGACCTGAACACAGCAAAACGATTATTGTACATCATGGGGGAAATGTTAGGCTACACTCCAAATATGCCAAAAGGGCCAATTAAGTTTTCTTCAAACACTTACAGTCATTACAAGAATATTTCGAGCAATCTGACATACCCAGTGAGGGTTTGGAGTGCCCATGTTTACTGTGAGCTATTTAACCAGACTTCAAACATTAACACAATACCAACTGGAAATGTTACTGGCTTCAGAGGATGTAAGTGCAGAATGTTGTTGTTGTAAAAAGGGGGAATTACCTGTACAAATGCTGCAGCAGAGCACCAAGTGTTGACCTGTTGACTTTGGGTAAACTCTGAATGTAGGATGAATATTTTTGCACTCTGACCTTCTCATCCTGTTCATCTGCATTTATGGACAATAAACACTATTTAAGGTAGAAATGTAATGTGCACCCACATAAAGTTCTGTTTGCATTTTACACCAAAAAAAAATATCCTTGACCAAGCCCTTTAAAGGTGCATTCAGTAGTTTGGTGCTGGTTTATACTAACGCCATATGAAGACTGCACTCATACTAATTTTCTATAAAAAGTGTTTTAATTATACATGATGCCAGTCAACCAACTTAATGTATTTTTTCATCATAAAATGACGAAGATAATCCACATGCTCATTAGCTGATGCCTCTGTAGATACGCTAGTAGCGTTTCATGATGTAAAGAGTGAAAATCAGTCAAAAGAACGTCTCTAGATTACGTATGTAACCATGGTTCCCCGAGGGAACGAGACGCCAGGCCGCCATACTCCTGGTCGAATGCGCTCTGACCCTCATAGACGACGGGAGGCCAGAGGACTCATAAGCTAGTGAGATGGCCTCTACCACCCACCTACTCATAGTCTGCTTGGTCGCCGGAGATCCTTTCTTTGGTGGACCAAAACAAACAAAAAGCTGATCTGCCTTACGCCACGGGGCAGCTCTGTGTGCGTAAATGTCTAGTGCTCGAACTGGACAGAGCAGATTAAGCCTTTCTTGGCCTACTTCCTGGAATGGAGGAGGACAGAATGCCTGAAGTACTATGGACCCTGGTGAAGAAGTGGGCACCTTAGGGACATACCCGGCCCTCGGGTAAAGGAATGCCCTAACCATGCCTGGAGCAAACTCCAGGCACGAAACAGAGAGTGCCTGAAGACACCAACCTCAGTTGAGAGACCAGATGCTAGGAGCTGTGCCCCCTCAGGGGCCATGCCCACAGCTTCCATAACTCCGGGCGGGAGTGAAGAATGGTGCCCCCCGCCTGAGAGAGGAGGTCCCTTCTGATCGGAATCTCCAGCGGAGAGCCATCGAGGAGGGACACTAGGTCCGAGAACCATCCTCGGGCCGGCCAGAACGGGGCTACTAGCAACAGACGGACCCCATCCCGGCGTACTCTCTCCAGAACTCCCGGGAGCAGAGCGATCGGGGGACAAGTGTACAGACGAAGCCTCGGCCACATCTGCACCATGGCATCCAGCCCCAGTGGAGCTGGATGCATGAGGGAGGACCAAGGGATCAAGGTCATGCATCGCCGCGTGACCTTGATCATGCGAATCGGATTCCCCCTCGGGGAAAATCCCTTGGTTCTGATCCACCACTGCAAGGGTCTCATGTACAGCAGGTCAAAATGTATCACGTTGGACGCTGCTGCCATCAGGCCCAAGCGGACAGTTTGTTGTTTCCTGCAACGCAAATAGATCCACTTCCACCTGGCCAAATTCCCTCCAAATGACCTCCACCACCTCGGGGTGGAGCCTCCATCCCCCGGGCCTCAGCCCCTGTCTCGACAGGATATCTGCCCCCTGATTTAGATACCCAGGGATGTAAACTGCTCTTAGAGAGAGGAGCTTTCACTGAGCCCACAGAAGGCTCTGGCGCGCCAGCTTGTACAAGGGGCGCAAACGCAGACCCCTCTGCCGATTGATGTAGGAGACAACCGATGTGTTGTCTGTGCGGACAAGCACATGATGCCCCCTTAGGTCTGGAAGAAAGTGTGTCAGAGCTCGTAACACGGCCAGCATAGACCTTCCCACAGACCCTGGGCAGAGCGGCCACTCATGACTGCTCCCCAGTCCGTGAGAGAGGCATCCGTCGTTAGCGTTACGCGACGACAAGGAGCCCCTAACATCGGGCCTTGTCTAAGGCACGTAAGCATCGCCGCGTGACCTTGATCATGCGAAGCGGATTCCCCCTCGGGGAAAATCTCTTGGTTCTGATCCACCACTGCAAGGGTCTCATGTACAGCAGGCCAAAATGTATCACGTTGGACGCTGCTGCCATCAGGCCCAAGCGGACAGTTTGTTGTTTCCTGCAACGCAAATAGATCCACTTCCACCACGCTACCAGAAAATATACTAAGGGAACCAGCCTCTCGAGGCTGGCCTCTGGTGTTATGCGAGGAGCCAGTTCGGTGCCCTGAAGCGGATGACCGGCAGGGAACGACCGACCTGACTGCTGTAGAACCCTCACTTGAGGGGGCGAGCTCCCCCGTGCCGTACCGTTGCAGGGCGGCAGCTGGGAATTTTGCTCGTTGGAGCTCACTGAGCCCTGAAGCACCGAGGGTTGCAGGCTTATCAGTGACTCTCCGTGAGGGCACTGAGGAGGATCGGGCACCGTATACTGAGGTGTTATCCTTTCCTCCCCAGGTGGGGCTGCCCTCAGGGGCCTGACGATGTTGGCGTCAGGACCGCTTAGTCGAGGTCCTCTTCGACAAAATAACGGTCCGCAGACCCGTCTTTGGTCTAGAGGACCCTGACTGAGAGCGTCGCCCCGACCCCTGTTCTTTTTGTGGAGGGGTGCGGGTTGCAACGCTCTGTTTTTGTGACTGGCGATATGAGGAGCCTGACGGCTGGGGCTGCTCCCACTCAGCAGGTCCTTGAGCAGGTCAGCCTGGTACGCTTGTAACACCGCCATGGAGAGCAAGCATGCACCAGCCTGACCTGCTGCCGTATAAGCTTTCCCAACCAGACTAGATGTAAGCTTAACAGGCCTGGTGGGAAGCTTCGGGGCCTTCAGGGACGATGCTGAGGATGGGGAGAGATAGCTCGCGAGCGTCTGCTCCACCATTGGCATCGCCCCATATCCCTTCTCATTCAGCCTCACGATATTAGAATAATTAGAGACTGTGGGGCTATATATATGGGAAGAATACGTTTTTTCCCACGATCTTGACACCTCGGCATGGAGATCAGGGAAAAATGGAAGGCCCCGTCGTGAAGGCTGTGGCCTCGCTTTCAGGAAATGCTCGTCTAATTTGCTCTTAGGACGAGCGTCCTGTTTCTCGGCTGGCCAATGGATATTTAATTTGGCTACAGCACGAGTTACAACTTCCACAAGCTCCTCATACGTGAGGGACTGCGGTGGCGAGTCCACAGTCTCCTCTGTCTCGACACTCATCACTTCTACCTCCTCGGAGGAAGATAGATGAAGTGCCTGGCTCTCTCTCCGGGGGGAAGAAACCGCAGCGCGGGCTTCCGAACCCTGAGAGAGAGCCGCGGATCTAGCGGGTGAGGACCGAGAAAAGGACGAGCCCATCTCGGATCCCTCCGCTAAATCTACTTGCGATCCCCATAACAACAGTCTGCGCTGTGCCTCGGCAACAGCGGGACTGCGAGCCTGGCCGCTCTCATCAAACACGGCCAGGCGAGAGCGGAGCGTGCGCAGCGAGAGCAGCTCGCAGTCATGACAATCAGCCCCCTCGAGAGCTGACCGTGCATGCTCCGCTCCCAAACAAACGACACACAAATCGTGTGTATCCCCTCGCATCAGATATCGTGGGCAGGGAGGAACACAGCGTTTGTACTGCCGTTCGCTCGCCATAGACTTTCTCATTGTTTTATATATATGAGTGCTTGTGCAGACAGACAACAGTAAATAGACAGACACATACACAGAGTGCTACTGAAGAGCAGAAGCTGGTTTGCGCCCGGCCGGAATGCGCTTTTATGCTTTCTGGCGCTTACGTCACCCTGCTCGTGACGTCTCGCTGCTCCATTGGACGGATTTGACACGTGCTTCAGAACGCGGTCACGCAAGGGCATTCCCAAAGTGATCTCGACACAGCTCGAGTTCCTGAAGGGGAACACACTTTTGCTTTTATCGTGCTTTACCAATGGAAACAATGTGAGAATCAGTACCTCTACAACTGAAAAAGCAAAAAAGATCTGAAGCCAGAAGGCTGACAAAAAATAAAGATCATGCTGATCCACATTGATAGATGGCAGTGTGGCATCTAACACTACTGTGGTAACTGTACTTAAAGTACAAAAAGAATGCTAATGCAAACACTAGCTAAAGAACTATTGAACACACCTTTAATAACAACCAACTGGACTTTAGAGTAGTTTGATCCATAATTTAACACAAATTAATGTTCATTCACAGGAACAGATTAAGTGGTTGGCAGCACTAACCAAGGGCAGAGATCCAAAAAGGGTACAGCTCTTTAGCCAATAGAGCGTCTTCACTGTGAGACAGGAAGCTCTTGAGTGTGTCTGTGACATCCCCTAGCCGATGGTCTTGAGCCCGTAGCTTAACAACCCGAGCGTTCTTGGTAAAGTCCTGCAGGAGCTGGGCCACACGGCCCGGGTCACCGTTCTTCTGGTAGATTCCCTCATAACACAAACCTGGGGGAAAGGTCAACGGTAAGAGCTTTGTGAGATAACATTATAGTGTCCTTTATGATATGAGATCAAAATTTAGATACATTAAATAATTGAAATACAATTGTTTAGATCTCATAGGAATATAAACAACTTACCATATTGGGTGACAAAAGCAATGCAGCTATCCACAATGATAGGAACATCATTTTTATTCATCTGCTGGTTGCCGAGAGCCATACCATCTGTCCCAGCTGCCAACTGGATGGAAGAATGCCACAGTGCAAAGTCCTGTTTGGTTATGCCATGTATGTACACAGTTCTGTATTTAAAAAAAAAGAAAAACACACACATGCACATACACATTTATAAATTAAAATATAATTCACAAAAAGAGTTATGACAGCATGGCGACAACACTGTACACTTCAGTTCAAAAGGCTCTTATGCTCACCTAATTGACCAAAAATACAGTAAAAACAGAAATATTGTGAAATATCATTACAATTTATAATAATGGTTTACTATTTTTATATATATCAAAAAAATATATATTTCTGTGATCGTAAAGCTGATTTTTCAGCAGTCATTACTCCAGTCCAGTGTCAAATGAACCTCCAAAAACCATTTCTAATAAGCTAGGTGCTCAAACAACTTTTCATATATCAATGTTAACAACAGTTGTTATGCTTTTTCAGGATTCCTTGGTGAATAGAAAGTTGAAAGGAACAGCATTTACTTGAAACAGAAATATTTTGTAACATTATAAATGTCTGTTGACATTACTGCCACTTTAGATCATTTTAATGAGTCTGAATACACAAAATAAAGTATTAATTAATTTATTTCTTACTTTCAATGAATAAATAAAATCCCAAACTTTTGAACGATAGTGTATGTTTACTGAAACTTAATATCAGCAGTCTTTTATGTTGCATTATGGTGTTAGGCGTCTAGTGTACTGTACCTCCCACTCTCAACCATGATTAAGACCTGAATCTTCTCATCACCCTCCATATGAGTGGACACAGCTGAGGAAAAAAATATAGGAAAAACTTTGCTGAAGCAGTCCATAACTCTATTACCTTGACAGAATGATAAAAGCACTCTTAGACAAACTAAAATGAAAAGCATTAAGAGTGAAAGAAAACAGAGGAACATGAAGTTAAACAAATGATGAGAGCTTTAGTGTTTTGTAAACTTTCCAGCTGGAGTAAGTGGAGCAGAAAGCTGAGTGTTGCTGGTCATTAGTTTCTACTGCAGTACATGAGAAAACTGCCTCACTGAACCCATCAGACACATGCACAGTTGTACATACACATTCAGAGTCATTGATTCTTCAACTAATCTTCCTCACATCTGTCATTTTCCCACTCCCTTTTGTCTCTCTCTTTCCCTCAAGTGCCAGACCAATATTGCAAATCATATTCAATGACCAAAACTCTCCATCAATCTTTGTATTATGTTTAATTAATCAAATTCATAGTCAATCACTTGTGCATAAATTCCGAGATTAACCCATTTCAGAGTAATAAAAGCACAACCAAATCAAAACAGGTCAAGTGAGAACAAAATTGCTCAAATATTTGTGAAACTCAATACTCAACTAAAATCAACCGAAACATAGGAACTTAAGTGCTAAAAACAAGCACTTTAATTGTTGTACTTTAGCCATTTTCAAGGTTGGCAAATTTTGTTTACCAATGTTATTGAAAGTGATTTTATAAAAAAGGAAAGGAGTGCTACTGGGCACACATAAGGTTTATTAAAAGCCATTACAGAAAAGAGGCAAACATACACTATCACAGTTTGATAAAAACAAACACCACTCACTTCATCCTTTTAACCTCCCTTAAACATTAACGGCCTTAACTTTTATTAAGGAATTAAAATACAGAATTAAACCAAACAGCCTTGTAGTGCTGGGACTAGCATTGAGATTCCAATAACACCTCTCTCGGCTCTCTTTTTCTTGTTTACACATATATGGAAATTATTTACAAGGGAAGAATGACTTCAGATTAAAGGTGGCCAGCGAGCTTCCTTTGCATTTAGTGAGGGTTTAGATTATTTTGACAGATGAAAGAGAGGTCAATTTTAAAAGTAAGTATGCTTAAAGTTTCCAATGGACATACAGTTTTTATTGCAATAACACAACTGTTGAACAAAAGGATTGATACGACTTTCAAAAATACATTAATTTTTATCTAACTTTTGCCTTAATGACAGCAGCACTCAAGCAGCATAAACTTCATAAGTTTGTGTAAAAAAGGTCTCTAGCATGATCTGAGATGATCCAAAGAGCATCTCGAACTTCAATCTGACCAACGGTACAGAGTCACAAGTTTATTTTGATTAACTAGAAATAGTGCAGGACCTGAAATATTTCTCAAATGTGGCTTTCAAATTTAAGGTTGTGTTTACATTTGTAGTTCAGTTCCTTTGGTCCGGACCAAAAATGAAAACTATACATTTAGCCCTGCTTTGTTTAGTGTTCATTTTAACACTGAATCTAAAGATACAAAACAAAATGCATAAGGATATGGTCACAACCTGTGCCCTAAATTAGATCAATTTCACTGTGGCCTCAGACTTTTGGACCCCACTGTACATGAGGCACATTTTAAGATCTTCAAGAACAAATATCGGATTTCTTATATCGGAGAACCTTCATGTACTTGCGTGACACATTTCAGGACCATGGACAGCAAAGCCTTTGACAAATACTATAACAATACTATACTGTCATTCAGAAAGTTTATAGGAACTATTCAGAGGTGCTTTGAAGCATTTACTTACAAAAGACTATGAGAATTCCTTTCAAAAGCCTTTGTAGACAAAATATTATGTATGACTTTCAGATGTCATTTCTACACAAGGCTTTTCCATTGCTAAATGGATGAATCTGACATTGCTCTCCTGTTTATGGCAGGAGCGAGTAAAAGAGGGTGAGCTAGGGAAAGCTGTGAACTGCTGGTCTGCCTATGTCTGTGTACTAATCTAATTTCACAGAGTTTCAGCCCTTTGAGGCCCATATGTTCTGTCGCTATAGAGATCTTAAACCACTGGAGACGCTTCGTTAGCGTGCCACGCTACATTTCAAGGCTGCGCGAACTGTTGAGGCATCACCCTCTTAATCCTGCCCCGAGTATGTTGGCTTTCTGGATTTGATCCTTTTTTTGGCCTTGAACGGATTAGGAAAAAAAGAGATTCATTGATTTTTCCTGCCTCGTTCTAGCGCAATTGATTGAAAATGTTGCAAATCTGGTCCATGGGTGCCAAGATCGTGTCAACTACCTCCCGCCCAAACACGATTGCCATCGGCAACCGCGGTCTCCCTTGGAGACAGACGAGACGTGTGACCAGACGAATCTTTTAGAGACATGGGAACGGAGTCAAACATTAGCACACTGAATGTCAACCAGGAAATACTAGCAATAGACAGAGAAGTCACAGAAGACTAGGGCTAATATTTCAGACAAGATTTCAAGAAGATGATCGTGAGGCTCAAGGTGTCTCTTGCTAATACTGAGACACTTTACCTCAGACATCACTAATGTAATTCATTAAAAGAATAGACAATATGGACAATCTTTTTAAACAGATGATCCAAAAAATGCCTAATGAGAGCATATAATGAGTGTGAAAAAATTGCTAGAATTAAAAGCGCACATACAAACACACATTCAGTGGTCAATTTTAGGATTATTTCACCCAGAAACTATGAACTTGAATGACTTTCTTTCTTCTGTAGAACACAAAGGGAGAATAATGTGATGGAAGCAGTTACATCCATTAGAGACTATCATTTTTAAGCTCCAAAAAGGATGCAGTAACACAATGAATGTATCATAAATGTTATGTTATTTAGTTAATTTATTTAGGATGAAGTACTAAAATTTGTAAAAAAAATTAAAAAAAATAAAATATAAAAAAAATTAGCTATATAAAGCTATATAAACAACATATGTATAGCTATATAAACAAAAAAACTAATACAGAACAATCAAAGCTAATTCAAAATATAAATAAATATTATCATAGTATATAAATAATACTAAAATAGCACTTTTCCTCACACAAAGCTATCAAGTAAGTTCAAAAGACTAGCAGACTAAAATACTTTATTGACGACTTTCATGATACTTTGTAATGGTGAGGGTTTTTTTAGGTCATTTTAGAGCTTGGCAGTCCCAGTCTCATTTACTTTCATTATATAAAAAAGAATAGCCATGATAAATCTTTCAAAAACTAAACAAAAGAAAGAAAGTCATACAGGTTTGGAAAAACATGGATGAACTATTCCCTTAATATCTTTCATTCGACTGGTATGCATGCATATTTGTCCTCACTAAGCTCCTGTAGGCGTTTGAGTTGAAGAACTCCCTCCTCTTCATCTTCATCTCCAGAACAGAAGTAGAGTTCTGAGCCCACCAGAGCAAACCATCCCATTCGCCAATGATAAAGGTCATGACCCTCTTTATAGTGCAGTCGGCCAATAAGCTCATTGTCCAGCCTCAGCAGAGCATCTGCCCTTGCAGGGACAAAACACTGAAACGAAAGAGAAAAACATTAGACAGAGGAGCCGCGTGAGATGCAGAGAAAACATTTAAAAGTCAGGCGCTTGTGCAGATGACACAAAGAAGTTTCTAGTGTTTTCTGCCAAACAGAAACTACAGCTAACCCTGGAGTTGCATTAAACCGGCATATACAGATAGAAGTACAAACACAAACACCCTTTGAACATTCCCTAGCTGAGCTCTCAGAGTTACGCAAACACTTCAGCCTAGACACTAGCACCTCCACACTTCACTTAAATGGGAATTCGTGTGAGTGTGTGTGTGTGTGTGTGTGTGTGTGTGTGAGTGAGGGATGAGAGGCAAGTGAGATGGATCTGTTTGAAGGAGTAATAGCATACACCCACTCGCACAAGAAAAACACTAACGCACACCGACACAACAGGGACATTTTCAAGTTGGTCAGGCAAATTCACCAACAGAACACTGCGCAGTTTGAAAGTGACTTTAGTCTAAATAGAGCTTCAAGCATGCAATTTTGACAATAGACTTTTTTTTATTTCACCAAAATTTGGTTACATGACTGCAACTTTAGAGTTGCTTTGAAGGATGAATGTGATAAACATCCAGAACATGTTAGCAACCACACAGTAATGTGTTAAAACATTTAGACTATATTTTACAATTTTATATGTTCATAGTAGGCTCTCTATTCACTCAGCGTACTTTAGGATTTGCTTATTACAATACAATTTAAAGAAACCAAAGAGTTTCTAAAGAAGGCCAGTGGCAACAAAGGGTGAACAACTTATTTTCTTAAGTGGATATACTGTATTAATGTTCTTAAGAATTCAGAGCAGATTCACAGCCCCTTATATGGTGGATTATCCCATAGTTACCACATTATGAATTATTTATCTACTACTATTTTAAAGACATTAAAAAAGGTTTAAAAGATCCTTAAATAATTCTTTAAAATATAAACCAGGTATGATCCATAAAGAGTAACCAGAAACAGCAAATAAAAAAAAACTGGAAATGATCTACTCAAGAAAAAAAAAAGAAACTTAACAATGCCAAGTTATTTAGCCATACATTATTCAAATGTACTTAATGAATTCAAGCTTATCTAACGTATTATGTTTGTGTTCAAGTAATAAATAATTTATCAGACACTTAAATCCCTAGTTTCCTATCAGTACAGTTCACTTATTGGCTCAGTCCTTTTAGTCAGCAGTTTTCTGATTATGAGTATTACCCTCAACACCACTTTTACTGTTCACAGCCACCTGCTGGGTGCAGGACAGGTTCTGATATGTAATGTACATGCCGGGACAAAATTATATGTAATTGTAAAATCAGACAAAATTGTATGACTTTACAAGTGCTTTACTCAACACTGAGAGTGTGTTGCGTTACAAAGCACAAGTAAATCTGACAAGACCATTTAATAAAACCAAAGCAACAAATAAGTTTCCTCCCAAAGCAAACATTTAAAAAAGGATTTAATTAAACAAACTGATATTTCATCATGTGAAATATCAGAAACACTGATATTTAATGTTATGAGCCTGAATGCCTTCAAAGAGGTGTTTAAAAATGCAACAAAAACATTAATGCTACCTAAAAGCTTTTTATACCCTGTTTGACATCACATAAAAGTGCAGTTTAAATCTATAAAAGATACATCAAGGAATGTTAAGGCCTGTAAAGAGAGCACATTAAGTACTAAAATCCAAGAGATTCTCCGCAATCTAAAAGGGCTTCTGTTCATCATAGGACTTTTCATTTTCTTGTTTACAAAGGGTATGGATATATAATCTCTGAACCGGTGTTCTCAGGAAAAATGGAGAGGTGTCCTTTTCATTAGTCATTATATTTGAATTTGCACATCATGTGGACAAGGGCATTTGTCTACTTCAACTTCATCAGTGTCTTCAAATGAACTGAAACCATTAAAAAAAATACAAGTACAATACAAGTCAGGTTGCTGGGGTCAAGCCTCTTAAAATTCAAAATGATTAAAAGAAAATTTGATAGGCTCTTCACAAGCAAAGTTGCACATATACTTCATACACATCTAACGTGCTTGAATCTTGAAAAGGCTGGAGCATCTCTGAAAGATGTGCATATCTCCTTTATTTCTGTTGTGTCAACTTATTTTTTGCAGATCTGTATACAGCCATAGGCCACGGCTGTCTTTACCTGTGATCATCCAAGTTTATATGGGTAGAAAAGCCTGAGAGCTGGATGTGCTGTGGAGAGAATCATTCAATTAGGTAAAATACTAATGCTGGAAAGACGAACGAGACAGAGAAACAAAGTATTACAAACATGGAGTTTCTTGCCATTACTATTACAATCCACGCACATCTTATTATGTGTTGTTTGTGCACAAGAAGCAACTATCAACTATACATTATTGTTCAAAAGTTGGTATACAGTAAGATTTGTTGTTAGAAAGTAGTCTGTAAGTTTTGTTGTTGTTGTTTTGAAAGAAATTACTTCAGCACTTTTACATTTTTACAAAAATATATTTCAAATAAATGATGTTCTTTTGAAATTCTATTAATCAAATAATCTTGAAAAAAATGTATCATGGTTTTCACAAAAATATTAAGCAGTTGATTTCAAAACTGATATAAAAATTTTAGAATATTGGAACGATTTCTGAAGGCTCATGTGACACTGAAGACTGGAGAAATGGCTGCTAAAAATTCAGCTTTCCCAAAGGAATAAACTGCATTTTAATTTTTAAATGTTAATAATATTTCACAATATTACTGTTTTTACTGTATTTTATCCAAATAAATGCAGCCTCGATGATCATAAGAGCATAAATATTAAATAATTTTACTGACCCCAAACGTTAGAACAGTGGTGTATACTATATATCTATAATTGTCAAATTCCACATTAATTAGATGCTGCAACAAAACAACAAGTTATCACTTACAGTATATACAATTAGGCCTATTTCACAGTGAATGCATAAGGAAAACAACAATGTATCTACAACAGCAGACTCATGCTGCTCTGTAAGAAAATACAATTATTTCTGTGCTACTGTATTGCAAGTGTTCTTTAATAACAACCATACATCGCAATCAGGGGTTGTCCATTGATAATTATTACAATTTGATGGTCACAAAATGTAATTTATGAGAAAATATGTAACATGAGGAGTGGAATCACATTTACCTCCATATGATAATTAATCTACACAGAATGACACTAAACCCCAAACTGGAGCTATAAACTAATTGAATCAGCTGGATACTGTCAGATTTACTGAATAGACAATGCAGTCACTATGTATGCATGGAGCCCAACAAATGTCTTCAAACAACAGAAGAGTAGTTTACTTTATCACTTACAGTATATACAATTAGGTCTATTTCACAGTGAACGCATAAGGAAAACAACAATGTATCTACAACAGCAGACTCATGCTGCTCTGTAAAGAAAATACAATTATTTCTGTGCTACTGTATTGCAAGTGTTCTTTAATAACAACCATACATCGCAATCAGGGGTTGTCCATTGATAATTATTACAATTTGATGGCCACAAAATGTAATTTATGAGAAAATATGTAACATGAGGAGTGGAATCACATTTACCTCCATATGATAATTAATCTACACAGAATGACACTAAACCCCAAACTGGAGCTATAAACTGGAGCTATAAACTAATTGAATCAGCTGGATACTGTCAGATTTACTGAATAGACAATGCAGTCACTATGTATGCATGGAGCCCAACAAATGTCTTCAAACAACAGAAGAGTAGTTTACTGAAGTAGTTTAAATTGCTTTAAACACAGCTACATTGCAACAAATGTTCTGAAAAGTAGGTTTAAAATGCATTTTCTGCCGAGTTTAATTTAGCACGAGCAGAAAAGGGCCCAACACCAAAACATGCACTTACACTCCTGTAGACAGCGCCACTTTGCCAGCAGTGTGAATACTGTAACCTATTAACATGGATGCAAAAATAAATACGAGCTGCTTTCACGTGATGTGTGAAACAGACCTTAGTGTAAAACTGTTGAGAGACTGTTGAAAGAAAATCTAAAGGTCAAATCGTTGTGAGCATTTATTTCTAATGTGCGAGTAAAGTGACTCATATTCATGTGAGTTCAGTGTCTGGAGCCCAGTTCAGAGGCTTAGTCATCAATGGACGTGCCTCAAAATAATCTTGTTTTATCATTTACACAGGCGGAAACCTCATGGGGGACCTCTTTCAATTGCGGATGGACATTGTTTGCTATGAAAGCATCGCAACATTGATCCAGATGAAAGAAATGAATGAGTCTCGATTGAGAAGTTGCCCCGGCTCTGAAACACACAGCTACCAGCAGTGACAGGCAATGGGAGCTTGTTTTAGATGCATTATCCCCTTTAGAGCATGGGGTGTTTCACAAGTATACACACACACACACGGAGGAATACCGCTGCATGATTTATAAAGGGGCAGATGTGGTTGTTTTCTCCTCTTCCCCTAAAAGCACGATTCCTCTGTGGGTGTCAGCGGAAGCTCAGTAAAGACACACAGAAAAACACACTCTTTCACAACGTGCGCACACATCAGGGTTGGAATTTAAGAATATGCTTTCAATTTATGAATGCAAATTTCAATTGAATTGGCAACACCCCATAGGACGTGTGACAGGAAGAGGAATTTACTGAATTAAAATTCTAATTTGGTTCAACTCAACAACAACCGATAACTCAGGAGTTCTATTTAGCTGCCTTCTAGGAAAATTATGATAATAATAACAAATAAATAATAGAGTAAGAGAGTAAAATCTTCCACCATCATTAAACATACATTTCTATAGGTAGCATTTCAAACATTGACTATTTATATAATGTTTCTGGAAATACACCATATGTTGTTTTATTTTATTAGCCTATGTATTATTAAACACAACACTTTATTGTCATTATGAATTCCGTTATAATTCCACATCTATTCTGAGCAGTTACCATCTCAATTGGATGAATTCACTGAGGAAACAAAATTGGAATTTAAAATACATTCTCAATTCAATTCTGAATGGTGCATAAACCCTAAACACATACATTTATGCAAACCCACAATCAAAAATATCCTTTACAATGACATCCAGTATTTTAGTAATCCATTAATGCTGCAGAATACTGCTGCGAATGAATTGTGAGACCCTTGATTTGTAGAATATCAATGCTAAATAAATGGGAATTTAAAATTTAGAGAGATTAAGTAGTGTAACAGAGATAGAAAGAGCAAAAGAGACAGGATTGGATGAAAAAAAAGTCCATCTCCGTACGTACATGAGAACAGAATTGCTACGAACAGAAACAGAGGAGAGAGATGAACGCCACAAACTGTGAACCTTGAATGTTTCAAACACTGAAGTAACATTGAAATCAGAAATCAGAGGTTTTGATCTGTGTTTTCTGATCATGCAGTGTTAGGGAACAACTAAAAGAAGCAACAGAAAAATATGGCTCAGATTAAATCCTAAACACAAATCATTGGATAGTTATCTATTTAAAAAATATACTGGCCCATAAGCATATTCAGTGTGGTTGGCTACTTTTTGTTAGTAGCGTGTGGTGTTTGCTTCCTTGTAGCAAAAAATGGTGCTTTATAGTGAAGTCAGTGCATCAACCGGACAGCCTCAAATCCAGCAGACCGTGCTTTTATTAAAGTCCCCAGAACAAAACCATAAATTATTGACATTAGGTTTTATATAGAACATTTTAGACTATTAGCGTGAAAGGCTTTAATGCAACCTCAATGGAAGAGCTTTAAAAACGTCCTTTTTTTAGGAATTGCACAAGCAACATTTTCCTGTTGATTAAACAAGTTTAAATGCACTGCTTAAGTAGTACTGCTGAATATTTTAGAAGGGACTCTACTATTACGACACCATTAATGTGGCTGCACACTGTGTTTTATAATAAATTAAATAAGGTATTTTCAGCTTGACATTAAAATTATTTTATAGAGGCATGTAAGATATTTAAACAATGTTGGCTTAGAAGGACAAAATCAGTAAATAAAAAAGGCCAGGGTGGGGGCGGCAAACTGATGATTCTCTAGAGCTTTAAATCAGCACAAATCAGACAATAATTTTTTTTTTTATCTGACCTACTGTTCCTAAAGCAGAAGAGAACCAAAAGATTTTCATATTTTTGTGGAGATATTTTTCTGAAGAGTCAAAGAGTGGTACTTGCAAGTGCAAAAGTCACCGTCACTATGCAAGTGTGTTGTGGGTGGCTGCCAGGGCATTGTTATGTGGTTGCTAATGTGATCTGAGTGTTTTCTAGAATGGTGCAATGCGGTTGATAGGGTGGGTACTAGGTGGTTTATTACTGGCCCAAGTTAAAAGAAGCCAGTTCCACATCACTACGATATTCTGGTCTCTGACATGGCTCACATCCCTCCTCCATTTTCACTGCCTTAACATTACCTAGGCCAAAATTGTAAGATTTTTTGTCCATAAACACCCTTGTGAAAAAGTACACTTTAGCATACTTCTAAAAAGACTTTATTTCACAGTGCATGCACTTACCTGCACTTACAGTGAACTTACCTAAGAAATTACTGGATGATAAAAGGTAGCTACATGGGTTAGGTGTAGGTTCAGGGTTAATACCTAGTTATTACCCAGTTATTGTAATTACAATAAAATGTACATAAGTACCTGTGGGGAAGGGCTGTAAAATAAAGTAATACTGCTTTTTTGGTCCACTTAAGTACATATTTATTTGGAATTTCATAACTACTATTGTATTTGAAATATGGTTAAAGAATGGCTGCAGCTGAAAGTACAGACAAGCATTTGAGGTAAATTAACTTGCACTTAAATATGTATGTTACGTACTCAAATTTGTAATTACACATTTAAAGGAAGTTTGAGGAAGTTGCTATTTAGTACTTATAAATATATTAAATGTAATATCAAATAACACTGCAGTATTTATAAACGAGTACTTTACATGTGCTTTAGTCAACACATCAAAATAAGCGTACTTAAAAACATGCCAAAAGATTAAGAGATTGTTCTCAAAATCTCAAATGCACTTTCAAAGTGAAATATTTAATTTGATGATATTACAAAGTGTACTTTTTAAAAGTTATGAAATATTATGAAACTTAGTCATGAAAAACTCTCTTTAAGTTACTTAAGTGGTCCATTATTTCATAAAATATTTCATAAAGTGCTCTACAAGTGCATATTCAATGCAATAAAGCACACTTCTTTTTTCACAAAGGGATGCATTTTATCTATACATCTTAAGCAACCGTGGTTTATTTGAGAATGTTCTCAAGAACACTCCGAAGTTTGGTCATGACGTTACTGGCAGTTCAGGAAAGTTTTCAGATTCTCATCCACTTGCTGAAGTTTCTTTTTGTGCAAAGAATAATGAGGAATCTGTAAATTATCATAACAGACGTTCTTTAAACTTTCAAACAGTCATCACATTTACTTCTAAGATACTTAGAACTGCATTAAACCCTTTTCAAATATCAGAGTCTAATTCTAAAACACAGCTTGCTTATTTCCAGTGCTCATAAACACACACGCACACACACAGTGATATCGGGGAAAACAGGCAGAGGACCAAAGCAGGCTACCACAGCTTGAGACAGATGTCCCTAGGGATACAAGATAGAGACGAGCTGAAAAAAAGAAGAAAAAACAAACGAGCTCCTACAGTGGAACATGTGCTCCAGATGCTTGTGTTACTCCACCAAGAGTCCACCTTAATGTAGGGCCCTTTCCTGGCCCCGTCCCTAGAGAGAACTTCTGTCTAACCACCAACGGCCCTCTCCAGATGCTTGGAAGAGAACAGCATGAGCGCAATGGGTGCCATAGAGACAACGGGGAAACATACTTGAAAGAATAACATCTTTGGGGGGATTTAGTGTAAGAAGAATGGGGTACTCAAATGAAGGGGGCATAATAATATTACACAAATACGGTGCAACCATTTCCAGCCATGGGTGAGGATAAACAGGAAGCGCAGATGAATATTCATAGGTAATTATTTGGATGAATGGATAAATGAGGAGGTGGGTGTTTGGATGGATGAATGCAAGGACAGACGGACTCACCGGGTCTTCCTTTCCGGTCCAGAGTGGCCTTGCCGGCGTTCACAGAGCAATAGAGAAATCCATCCATAAAAGACGGAACATCAGCCGAAAAACTGCTCTCAAATACTGCTTCCCGCTTAGGAAAATCTATAGAGAGAAAAAACAGAGAGAGATTAAAAAGAAAAAGGAGAACAGCTGATTAGGAATAATCCTATAATGTGGTGAGGACGAGAAATGCTGTTTATATGGAGATCAGTCGCATTATATGCAAACGCAGCTCGCTATTCCAACTGCTTTCAAGTGAAATTCAAAGTTTTTAAAAACTATTTACCTCAGAAGCTTCTTGATAACCAGTCAGTCTTCATGCAAGGTGTCAAACAGCTTTTAAAAGCTACATTTCATCCATTTTAATATGTTTATTTTTCATTTTCTAAGGTTATTTATTAAGTAGGATTGTAACAGTGCTTAATTTGTAAATGAATAATTTCCGGATCCAAAACAGCAATTAAAAGGCGCTGTGACCGACACTGAAAATACAACTTAAGTTTTCCCGGAACATTCAATGATGTCCCTAAACGGTGATGCCACAATTATAAGAGAGCATCGTTCACAAGTTTCTGCATTAACCTAACTAGGGAACAGCTTCAAACCCTGGGTCAAAAATGGGTTGCCAGGATGATTTTAGGAAAATGTATATCTAAGATGCATTAAAAATAACAAAATTTGTTTTCATAAAAATAAAATTCAATCATTGTATAGGTATAAATATGCTAAAAATATCTGACTTAAATAAGTAACAGTTTTAATTAAACGCGCATCCTTGCTTTATTTCACAAAATCACAAATGTTCTGTTATTTTGCGTGTGCAAAAATAAAAGTAAACACTTTGTGCTTTCGAATTATGTCTTACTCTTATCTGTATGACCAAAAATTATGTATTTTATGTTTCAGCTGTTCGATCGCGCCGGCGCCTCGCATGCTCACACACACACACACACCACATATTCGCAACTCAAACTTGACATTGCAGTTTGTTCATTATCAAAATAAAACACAGTCAACCAAAAATATAAAAGGTTACACTGGTCAATTTAAATAGTCCGTGGTATAACTGGTCCACTTTGTATGCCAAGCACATTTTTGCTCATGTGAAGAGGATATTTCTGTCGATATACGAACACGCGTAAAGTACAAAGCCTCTACATTATAAATAATAGTTTCATTGAAATACATTGCGAATATGGAAACATTATGATTTGTGCCGAATGAGAGATACGTGAGCCCAATTAACGCCTGGTACTTTCAGTTTCGCTTTGTTTTGGTTACTTTAGGTTTATATATTTTTATTTCATTCTTGTTCTGTTCTGAATACCGTTACATTTATATGATTTGTTTTGGAGTGAGCTATAGGCTACTAACGTATAGGCTAGCTATGTTTATAGTGTTTATAATGTTTATGCATTATATTTCACATTATTTGGTATTATTTATGGTATTTATGGTATTATTACACTCTCTCCAAACGTTCTGCTGCTCACAAAACAATAAGCAGTAAGCACCAATCAATGAGTGCGAGTTTGAACTTAAGAAAGCTGACTGGTCACAGTCAAAAATATGTTGAGGACCAATACATAACCTCCAAATACATAAACCTGTACTCGCTCTCATATGCACGCACGCACTGTCACGATCTAATGCCGGATCCTTAAAAACAATTACAGGAATGCAAAAATCGGACATTTTCCGGAACAGGGTCCATCAGGATCCAGCTCAAATTAAGCACTGGCTTGTAAAACTTCCATTCAAACATAGAAGCTCAAGGTTAGAATTTGACTCTGCTCCCCTCGTTCTGCTCTACCTCTTCATCTGCTCTCCCTATTTTCCTCCTTCACTTTTAACTCCTTTTTCCGCCAACTACCTTATCACATTCTGATTCAATTAGCCACTATGCTCAGGTTCAATTTTCTTCGGGAAGATTTTATCACACATTTCCAGTCGCCAACATGGAAAAAGTTCAAATAACTTTAATTGAAAAGCCTTTTAATTGAGGGATCTTTCCACCCATCCATCTCTTCCCTCCAGCTACTGATACTTCTCTGTTCGAACGAGAAGGATTAAAAGTGATAATGAGATAGGACGGAGGGAAGTCCAATTTGGCGATCTCTGCACACGTGCCTCCAACATGCAAATTGAGAACCTGCATAAGTAATATATTCAAATGTATGCGTATGTGTATTTTTCCAAGCGAAACAATGGAACTTGTTGCAAGTTGAATGTGTGTGTATGTGTGTAAGATGATGACTGAATTATCTGACTGAGAATCACATTTACAAGCCATTAAGTTAATGAGGCCATAGCTCCACACAGATTTAGAGGTTACGCAAATGTTGTCCTGCTGTTGTTACGATGTTAGTAAGCTTAACAAAACATTGGCAGAACACTGTAAAACATTTGTGGCTGTGCTGATTGGAGAATAGCTTAATTAGGATCGTTGGCACACTTCCTGTAAAAGCCCCAAATGAGCAATGTAATGACACACACACACAATCTACAGCTAATTATAGACACTTTCAGGGGTAATGCCGTTTTGAGGTAAGGATGTGTGTGTGTGTGTGTGTGTGTGTGTGTCACCCATTAGCCTGTGAGAAATGCCAATTGTGATGAAATTTGACTGTGAGTACCAGACGGCGTGTATTTAATTGCAAAACAGGAAAACATAAAACTTTCCATTTAAATAGTATGTTATTTATGGTCTACACTGCCCTTCAAAAATTTGGGGTCAGCAAGATTTATTTTATTTTTTTCATATAAAAGTAATTAAATGAATACTTTTTTTACATTCAGCAAGGATGCATTAAATTGAAGTGACAATAAAGACATTTATAAATAAAATAAAAATTAATTAAAAACTAAATGAACTTTTTATTAATCAAAGAATGCTAAAAAAAAAAAAAAAAAAAAACCTTAACAGTTTCCATACAAATATTAAGCGGCACAACTGTTTTCAACATTGCTAATGATATGAAATGTTTTTAAGCACCAAATCAGCATATTAGAATTATTACTAAAGGTTCATTTTATAATGAAGACTGGAACAATGGCTGTTGAAAATTCAGCTTTGCCATCACAGGAATAAATGACATTTTAAAATATATTTAAAAAAAGAAAATGGTTATTTGAAATTGTAACAATGTTTTTACTGTATGTAGTGTACATTATCTCATTATCTGCATTCAACATAAGTTTTACACATTTTCATGCATATTTGATAAGTTAATTTCTGATACAACTATATCAAAAAGCCGCCAGCTATTAGATTGAATAATCAATATCATATTAGATGATTGATTTTATAATCTTAATTGTGTATTGTATAATCATGATGAAGTGCATACTTTGATGCTTGAAACAAAGGGCTGCTGTATGAAATGCAGTATTTTTATCTTTATTTTTATTGATTCATTGTGTGGTAAGCTCTGCTGTGACATTTCCCTTTTGGATTAATGAAGTCAATCAAACCAAATCAATGCTGGTTGAAAGAAGTCTCTTACATTCACAAAGGCTGCATAAATTTGATCAAAAATACTGTAAAACTGGAATATTGCGAAATAATTTTGCAATTTTAAATATTTATTTAATATTAACACACTTTAAAATGTAACTTATTTTTGTGATGGCAAAGCTGAATTTTTAGCATCGATTACTCTAGTCTTCAGTGTCACAAGTGTCACAATCCTTCAGAAATCATTGTAATATGCTGCTTAACATTTGTGGAAACAGTGATACATTTTTCCTGGGATCTGTAATGAATAGAAAGATTTAAAGAACAGAATTTTTTTTTTTTTTTGGCGTTTTTGCAGTTTTCTATGACAGGACAGTAGAGATACGACAGGAAGAAAGAGATGGGGGGGTTGGGAATGGGAAAGTTCCACTAGGTGCGATTCGGCCTCGGGACAGCCGAAGCGAAACTGCGCCATATGTCGGCGTGCTGCCCACAAGGCTATCGGTTATTTGAAACAGAAATAATTTGTAACATTATAAATATTGCTACTTATATTTCTGATAAATTTAATGTGTCCTTGCTGAATAAAAGTATTACTGTCTTTCAAAAAATAAAAACTAAATAAATAAAAGTCTTACTGAAACACTGAACATTGGAAAGGTAGTGTATATGTGGTGGCATGCATTTCACGGGATATTGCAAAGTACGGCGGCCTGTACACATCATGATGAAGTGACAGTTTATTTAGCACACACACACCTGAGAGCTTGTTGTGGTAAAGAAACTCCATCTGCAGCCTCTGGCCTGCTTTCTGAGCCAGTAGATATGGGGTGGAGTACTGAGGGTCACCGGTTGCACACATCACATCCGCCCCGCTGAAAACCAGGGCCATGGTTTGCAGGATGTCAGGGAGAACCACTGTTGCACACAGCGCCTTTGGACACACACACACATGCAACAAAACATGTTGTATGAACACGACTGAGCATCAGTGATGGGAAGAGCACAGCAGCACGCAAAGACTACACTGAAACTGACAGCACATGATGAATTAACAAACAACATTGTCAAAGTACCACTCCTTTTGCAGCTAATATGAAAAACAAACATTTGTTGCATGCAGCTTTACTTGGTATCTTGGTACAGAATAACGTTAACATTGACATTGACACTGACAGAAAGCGAGGCATCCAAAGAAAGAAAGCAGTCAGTCCAATTAAAAAGAGATGGAGGGGGAAAGAGTCAATAAATACAATAGTGTGTGTCTCTGAGAGAGCCAGAGAGAGAGAGAGTGTTGGCGGGAGTAATTCAGTCGAACACTGCTTTCATCTAAAACAGTCCGATCCAGCCAAGCTATCGATCCCCCTCAAACAAGCTAGATCCGCTGGAGAACAAGGACACTGAGACAGTAAACCACACACATACATGTTCAGAAGAATCAAAACATCTCAGACTACTAGTGAAAAGTAGTATATCATTTCAAATTATTTTCTTATTTTTCGTAAATATTACACTACCGATCAAAGGTTATAGTAAGTACGATTGTTTTTAAGAAATCACTTTTATTAAGCATTAAAATTATCTTTTAAACTGTTACAAAAAACTTTTTCAAATAAATGCTGTTCTTCTGAATGATTCATTGAAGAATCCTGAAAATCGTGTATCACCGTTACTGCAAAAATATTATGCAGCACAACAACAGTGTTTCAACACTGATAATAATAAGACTGTTTCTTGAGCACCAAATCAGTATATTATAATGATTTCTGAAGGATCACGTGACACTGAAGACTGGAGTAATGACTGCTGTTTCTTTCTTTTGCTTTGTCTCTTTTTAAATGATACCAACACATGACCTGCTTTAACTCCACAAGTGTTGTGTCATCCTGATGATCATGTTCTCCAGCATGATATGAGATGTATGCACAGTGACAGTTACTTACTTGATGACAATAATGACAATACTAAATTTAATTTAGACAAATAATAAAGATAATTTAATATTTTCTATTCATAACTTCTAGCCTATTTGCTGTGCATTTGTTGTACAAGATTAAAAAGTATAAAACACCAGTTCCCTTTCCCTATCCCATTTGGTGTCTAGGTGACCTTATAATGTTGTTCCAATGACATAAAAACCAAGGACATCCCTTAGCGTGTGTGTACATGTTCTCTAGGTCACCTTTTCTGAAGAGACTTTCTGGAGGTCACTGATTTTAATTGGAGCTGTTGACTATAATCCAGATAAACACACACATATATACTCTACAAATACAACATAATGATAAATTGTGCCACTGATGGCAAAGACTGAAATAAAATTCAGCAGCCATCATTCTAATCTTCAGTGTATGCTGAAAATATGCTGATTTGGTGCTTTGGTGTGCTTAATATTTTTGTGGAAACCGGCATATTTTTTACAGCAGTCTTTGATGAACAAAAAGTTCAAAAGAACAGCCTTTATTAAATAGATTTTTTGTAACATTCTAAATGTCTTTACTGTCACTTCTTGATTAAATGTATGTGCGTGTGTGATGCCATTAAGATGCCTTCTTTTATATAAAATGCCATTAAGATCTATCGTGGTGGGGACTTCTATCACACTGAGCAAATTATAATTCTCATCTGCTAAATCTGACCTTCACACAAACCTTTCTGCATTTTAACATATTAATTTTCACATTAATTTGTATGCTTATTAACTAGTTCTACTTTGGCTGGTCCCAACAATGTAAGCACTTTCAGGTTTTTACTTTTTTCAAAAAAGAACAATCTGAATTGTTGTCATATCTCATAAACACAAAACCACTGCCTACCAGGCTGACTACTGCTCCAAACTTCAGGCTGAATGAAAGTATCAGACAGGAACTAAAATGAAAACTTAAAGACATATATCACATCAGGGCTTAAACAAAAACTTTGAGAACAGGGAGGATTTTTCTGGAACATTTTGTTTGTGTCTGACCCAGACGTACCCTTCCATTTATAATCTAATCTCACCTCTGTATGTATCTGCACTATATTCTTTATCTTCCTCTCACTCTCTTTGTCTCTCTCTCTCTCTGACACACACGCACACAATCATATAACTTTTTAAGAAGAACCCCTGAAAACTCCCCAGTGCTGCTCTCATCTCACACACACGTAATCCACAGTTCCAATCCTCTCGCTCCCTCTCTTTTGCCCCCCCTCTCCAGAAGACAAAAGCAGGCTTGATCTGTGTTAGTGCTGACGGTAAGGAAAAACAGCATCTTTTGGCTTAGGAAAGAGTAATGCGGACAAACTCAGTAGGAACAATCAAAACACACACACACACAAATACAGCATAATTATGAATTATGCACAGGAAATCGTGTTAACTCATAACACACCCATTATCATCCATTCAATTTCTTTAACATACTTTGTTTTCCGACTGTAACTTTACAGCACTTTGATTGTAGTTGCATTATTTAGTGCTATGCAAAACGATTCAAAGCAGAATCTTGGTTTTAACACAACTCTGGCAACCAGCTCTGAAAATTGATGAGAGCCAGTTACCATGGTAACCCTAATTTACACCTGGGCCAGAGCAACAACAGATGCACACACACACACACACACACACATACACACACAGCGACCAACATATCCAGCCCTAATGGGCCTTTTAATGAGGTAGAAAAAAATAACACTAAGCCAAAGGCCAATAATAGCACACAGGCTCTCTTACACACACCTTGTTGAGTTCCTCTTTAGTGTTTAGACCTTCTAGAACTTTCTTGTACTTTCTCTTTTTGTACTTCCTGTGAATAAAGGATGCACGCTGCTCCAGTGACGGCTGCATGCAAAGCTCCTCCTCTGGGGGAAGATTTGCTTCCCAGAAGCTGTTGGAATTTTTATTTCCAATGTCTAAAAACAGCTAAAGAGAGGGACAGAATGTGAGGACAATGTATTTCACAAGAAAGTTAGATCACCCAAAAATGACATACTCAACATCATGTCATGTAAACCCAGATTTTTTTCGAAAAACAAACTAAGGTATTTTTAATGAAACCTTTCCATCCCTTTATTTCCTCCATGGAATGGACTTTCAATGGAGGGACAGAAATCTCTCAGGTTTCATTAAAAATATCAATAACACTTTAAGTATAGGGACAAATTCTTACTGTTAACTAGTTGCTTATTAGCATGCCTATTATTAACATATTGGCTGTTTATTAGTACTTATAAAGCACATATTCTGCATGATCTCTAATCCTACCCAATTCCTAAACTTAACATCTACCTTACTAACTATTAATAAACAGCAACTTAAGAGTTTATTGAGGCAAAAGTCATAGTTAATGGCTTGTTAATGGTGAGACTTGGACCTAAAAATTAAGTGTGACCGAAATATCTTCCTTTGTTCTTAAGGCTTTGGAATGACATCAGGGCGAGTAACTATAAATCAACAGATGTTTCATTTTTGAGAGAACTCTCCCTTTAAAATCAATATGTAAGAAGTGACTACCACAACAGATCGGTACCTCAATGAGCTCGTTGGTCCATATGCTGCTGTCTAGCTTCATACTGCGGACCTTTGAGATCCCAGGACCCAGGAATCGATGCTGACCTGGAAACAGATACTGATCTGAACTTTTCACATCTAAAACAGACAATGTTAATTTAATAGTCAAAACTTCCTGTTAACTAAAAATGTCCTGCTTAACCTCAAAACTAAGCACAACTTCACACTAAATGGTATAAAGCAAGTATGACGCACATACAGACAGAGTCATACTCATTATACATTTCATCGTATCCTTCCCAAGCACTCTTTTCTCCAGCCTGCCACAGCTATAATTGCAAATGAAAGGCACGAAAAAGCCATTAATTGCTAATGAATCATAAGTAATTAATTGTGTTTGTTGGTCTGCGCATTTATTTAGCTGAACTCCAGGCACTGTCGTAGTCGTTGTTTATGCGAGAAACAGATGAATTAAACATGGCAGGGAGAAACACATATTTGAATATGGAGTGTGTGATTTTCCGGCATAATTAGTAGCATTTTAGAGTACCAGTTTGCCATCAAAGATCATTAGAGCCGCCTGAGAGCCAACGGGACTAAAGATGCTCTGTGTACGTGTTAGTGTGTGTGCATTAAGGGCACTCGTTAAGGGTTTTTTAGTGCCATCGAAGAAAACTTCTAAGACAGGAAAGTACCTTAAACACAGCGTTTGTTTCAATGAAACCCTATTTAAAGCATCAAAAGAGAACAAAACCATCAGAAAGGTGGAGAAATTTCTCTTTGTTACCTTATTTGAAACTATTAAAAGAAAGGAAGAGTGAAAAATGGGCATAGTGGGAGTTTCTATGGTAACCGTAGCCTCACTTGAGGAATGTCTCCAATCACAGAGTTCGATTTAAAGAGCTTATTGCAATTACATGTGTAAAGAAACAGACAAACCCGAATACGTGTCACACAGCCAGGGATGTTGATTGATATCAAAGTGTGTTGGAAGATAAAAGACGGGGCAAAAAGAAACAGAAGTGAATGAGGGGGAAAAAAAGAAGTGGGAACGTTAAATAAGTATTATAAATGTGAAGACAGATTGTGAGAAAGAGAAAGTCACTTCACCTGTCTCTCTCTTTCACACGCTCTCTGTCTCCCACCGAAGACAATTTGCTTTCATTTAATCGTTAGCTGTTCGTTATATTCCCAGTATTTCGCTCTCGCTCTCCTAATTGTCGGCTGCAGAAGCGCAGCTAATTAAAGTGTCTGTGCCATAGATCCCATGAAGGCTGCGGTGCACATTTAGGGAAAGCAGCCATTTGCACACGTTCAGCCACTGGTTCCTCCTGTATTGTGACCTAATGTAACATTACATGGCTGCATAATGAGTTAATTTATGGCGTCGGAGGGTGGTCACAATAATCTAAGTTATGTTTTGAGTTATTGACTGCGAGTCTGGAAGCGCTGAGTGAGCGCCGTATTGTGTTGTGTGCACAGAGATTTAAATAAAGCTCGCGTCCCAGCAAGCCGACCCTGCCTTCTTCCTTCCACTCTCTTGAACCTTACCACACTAAGCAACCACAATATCGGGAGAAAGAGCAAAGGAACTGTCTAAGGAGAGATGGAGTAAGATGGCTATGAAGAGCATTTAGTCTGTACCTGTAAAAGACAATCTGTTTGTGCGTTGTTTTGTTACTCTCTATGATGTAACAACTGTTCCTTACCACACGTTTGTCTATTTTTCAGACTAGTTTATCTATCCACACTAAACTGCGGTGTAACGTGACACAATATTCTTCTCACAGCCAGTGAGAAGATATTTAATATGTCCAGTAACAATTTTGGGATCAATAAGATTTTAATTTGTTGCTTGAAAGAAGTCTCTTATGATCAGCAAGGCTGCATTTATTTGATCAAAAATACAGCAAAAACAGAAGAATTATGAAGAAATATTATTATAAATTAAAATAGCTGTTTTCTATTATAATATATGTTAAACTGCAATTTATTACTGTGATGGTAAAGCTGAATTTTTAGCAGACTTTTCTCCAGTCTTCAGTGTCACATGACCCTTCAGAAATCATTCTAAACATTGGTGCTCAATATTTTTTTTTTACTTAAAGTAGCTCAAAAGGAAAATTCTGTTTGATTTTGATTCACTTAATTTGTCTTTGCTTAATAAAACTATTAATTTCTTTAAAAACAAAAATCCTACTGATCCTTTTCAACTGAAGACATAGGAACCAAGTAAACTTTTATTGCTTCGTGCTTGGTGTGTGTGTGTGCTTAAGACATTGTGTGTTTCATGTTCCATTCCTGTTGTGTTTGTTCTTGATCTGTTCTTTGTGTTCATAATTGTTTCTTACCAGCACAATTCTTGCAGATGACCACACACAGGTTGATGGAGGCCCATTCCGGCTCAGGAGCCTGACAATCAGCGCACTCCCTGTTGGATCTGTTGAACCAAACCTTCTCCAGCACCTCATAATTGCACAATGTCTCTACGATGGACTCCTGTACTGCTTCTATCCATTCCTCTCTCTCACGCTCAGAGTCCACTGTGAAACTGACAAAAATGATACAAAACTCTTACATACACTCTATCAGACTGATTATAGATTAAGTATTACAGTAGGTGATTTAAAAAAGGCAATCACTGGGCTCTTTAAAGCAGTACTGACTCTGATTGGCTGTCAAAGTTTTTATCATTCATCAGCTGAATAAAATTGTTCTGAAAGTGATTCCAGCAATATTGCTCCTCTGTGCCATAATTGTTATAAAGTTTTGGTGTTGAAATTTAGAACGATTTTTTAAAAATATGCCTTTATCGTTATAGTGATTGCCCTTGGTGTGAACAGGCCTGAAGGAGTGGTCACATTCCCTATTGTCTGGCGAATTGTCTGGGCAAAATCTAGTCATTTTTAAAGGAAATTACACAATCAGGAATTTCTTGTGAGGGTGAAAGATTGCCCCAAACAGATTTCACATTGGATTCAGTTGGTTATATGAATTTGCACAAATAGTATTGACCTTTTCTGAGACTTTTATGGTGCTTCTGTGTCCTTTTTGAAGCTTAAAAGCATTCATTGTCATTGCATGGAAAAGAGCGATTAACACATTTTTTTGAATGTCTTCTTTTGTCTTCCATGAAAGCATGAAAGCCCTATAGGTTTGGAATGATATGAGGGTTAGTAAATGAATTACAGAATCCACATTTTTGGGTAAACTATCCCTTTAAGTTGAAGCCCAAATCCGTTACTGTCAAATTTTAATACAGGGCCTGAATCCCTTGCCATCAGCTCTCTAAGCACTGACTCAAATATGGGAGTCGGTGTGTGTGCATAAACAAAATATGTTAAACATAAAACCCAAAGTTCTATTTGGCTAAGTTCACCCTGGCTTAAAACCCAACAGTCTGAGTCCCACTGGGCCCAGGTCAAGTACCAGACAAATAAAAATGGTGACTACCACTTTTTAAATGTTCATTATTGCATTTTGATTGGCAGTGATGAGCCAGAGTGCAGCCCAAATGTAAAAACCAGTAATAGCTCCGAATCTGCTTTCCATTTCCATTATGACCCCCCTGCGCCCATTATTTTAAATGAGCACAGAGACCTTGATACGTTATTTCTGCGAAAAATTCCAATTATTTTGCCAATAACTAATACTATATAGTCGTCCAGCCTCATATCGCTCAGTGTTTAGAACGCAACTACAAACAGATCAATATTCTGTCCTGTCCACAAAAACAAAGCTAGGAGATACAGAGGAAAAATCTTTAACAACACACACCAGCCAAACAAAGAGAGCGATAGCTTTTCATTGTTTGTTGTTGTTATTGTTGGGTCTTTTTTTTAGCGGGGGAACTGAATGAGCCATAAAAGGATCATTAAAAAACAAACACAAAAACATCTCATCGATTAGGCCTCCGCAAATGGCTGCTTTGTTGGAAACATCAGCTTGTGTGGGGTCACAGGTGAGCGATGCCTGTACTGTACAGCCGTTATAACAGAGCTGATATTTATAAAGAAAAAAAAGAACGAAAGAGGAAGAAAAAACAGATCAATAATGAGTGTGCTTCAGATGGATAGTATCAGAGTGGCAGGACAGTCATAATGAGAGAGTGGCTGCTAGAAAATAACACAGCAGGAAACAAACTCAAAATGATACTAAAAAGGCTCAAAAAGAAGAAATCGACAGTTTCCTCTGCCATTAATAAATCTCACACTGTCCAGCTATGCAAGCACTCAGTTTCATTATAAACAGCCAAAATCCATTAATCCATATTATATTTTGGTTGGTGCAATCACTTATACTAAGAGGTAAATCTCCTAAGTAGGAACGCCTTAATAAATGAACCAAGACAAAAAAATTTAACTTCTCTTGAAATGTTACAAACTAGGTAGTGAATGTAATAGTAAGTAAATACGTTTTAGCTTACTGACTTCAGGTTTGGTTAAAACAATTCATGTACAATTCCAGATAGAAAATTGAATGAATACTTGGCATTCTAGGAATCTGGAGTTTTGTAGGAATGGCTCAGAAAATTTTATTTTGTTGCAAACATACATTCACCAGCCCCTTTATTAGGTACACCTGTTCAACTGCTTGTTAATGCAAAAAAAATTATCAGCCAATTTCATGGAAGCAACTCAATGCATTTAGGCAAATACACAGACTTGGCCCTATTTTTCTAAACTACAGTACGTTTGAGTTTCGAATCTTATCACACGAATCGGACAGGATTAAACATCTTTGTGTTTATTACAGAGGTGGGAGGGTCTGTTTTGTACATCTGGGCTTTGCAGAGATTACGCACTCTATATGCGTGCATTGCATATAGTCATTTGGATTTATTATCATTAGTATAACCAAATTTTTACTACAGATACTATGGTTAAGCTATGGCTACTATAGCAAAACGATGGTTAATTTGTGGTTACTTTAGTTTAAAGGGGTCATATGATGCGATTTCAAGTTTTCCTTTCTCTTTGGAGTGTTACAAGCTGATTGTGCATAGATAAGATCCCTGAAGTTGCAAAGACTAAAGTCTCAAAACCAAAGAGATATTCTTTATCAAAGTTAAGACTCTGCCACTCCCCCCTAAAACGGCTCGTTCTAACACGCCCCCACATATCTACCTCACTATGTGGAAATATTACCATAATGCTGCCCAAATGTGCACGCAAAGAAAGAAGGCGTGGTTTCAGTAACCGCTTCATCACTGTGTCTGTCACGCGACTCTGTTTTCCTTTCGGGCTCTGTCTTTACATTTATTTTGAAAGATGAAGCTCGCGATTATGGTAAGGAGCGTTACATTTCCGACGAGTGCTTGCGGTGTTCGGCCAATCACTGCGCTGTGCACTGGGTCAGCTAGCCAATCAGAGCAGACTGCACTTATCGGAAGGAGGGGGCTTTGTTGAAAACGAAGCGTTTGAGAGAGGCGGGGCATAGAGGACCTACAATAATGTACAGTATTTGAAAAATAATGTGTTTTTTGAACATTAAAGCATGCAAACATATTCCGTTACACCAAATACACAAAATAATGAGCTTTAAAAAAGCATCATATGACCCCTTTAACTTTTTTTTAATTATTTGTAGTAAAACCATGTTTAGTTTTCGTAAAGGTATGTAATGTAAAACATTATGTAATTGAGTGCAGAAATGATGGTGAGTAATCTTACCTGACACTGATATTAAAGTAGCCAGTCTTAACAGTTCACATGATCTGGCTCTTGATTTTATTATTATACTTTTTTTTATTATTATTTCTTTGCCGGAAGACAAACATCAAAAATGTGCATGGTAAGAGTGTCTACGGTTATTCACGTTGGCCAAAACACACAAAGAAACGTGTTACGAAAAAAATATCGTCTGCAATCACGGACGGGATTAGTGTTCTCAGAGTTTGCCAAAAAACAGTAGGTAATTTGCTCTGGAATTATTACAGGGGTTGTGTGAAAAAAACAGACGTGGCAGATTCAGATGGGATTCAAATCGTAAAGTAAGCCTGTAAAACACAAATTTCTCTAACGACCCCCTGTAAAACTAGTCCCATTCGAATAGGGCTATAGTCAAGACGATCTGCTGAAATTCAACCCGAGCATCAGAATGAGGAAGAAATGTAATTTAAGTGACTTTCAATGTGGCATGGCTGTTGGTGCCAGAAGAGCTGTTCTGAATATTTCAGAAGCTGCTGATCTACTGGGAATTTCACGCACAACCATCTCTAGGGTTTACAGAGAATGGTCAGAAAAAGAGAGAATATCAAGTGAGCGGCAGTTCTGTGGGTGAAAATGCCTTGTTGATGCCAAAGGTCAGAGAATGACCAGACTAGAGTATGGAATCCGAAGTCGCGGTCCCCTCTGCCCACGCTTTCGTCCAGAGGTGCCGACGCACCTGGAGCAAGGCCAGGGTGAACCTCCTCCAGGTGGGGGCGCGCACCAAGGTTCAGGCCGATCGCCACCGGTCGAAACCTCCCATTTACGTAGTCGGTCAAAATGTGTGGCTTTCAACCAAGAATACTCCTCTCCGATCCGTCAGTAATAATTTCTCCCAAATTCATTCCAAATTCATTGGCCCGTTTACTGTCACCAAGATTATTAGTCCGATGGCAGTCCGCCTCAAACTTCCTCCAGCATACAGGAGAATTAATCTGGCATTTCACGTATCCAAAATTAAGCCTGTTTTTCATTCAGCCATTAATCCGCCAGTCCCTGTTCCTCCACCGCCGCGTCTCATAGATGGGGAACCAGCCTATTCGGTAAAGTGTATTCTGGACTCAAGACGGAGGGGAAGAGGATTTCAGTACTTGGTGGACTGGGAGGGTTACGGTCCGGAGGAGAGAAGTTGGGTACCTGCTAGCGATCTCTTAGATTCGGTTAAAGATGAGATAGGTTCGTCGGAGTTGCCTACTGGTGTGGACGAACTCATAGCTCTAGCCATTCAGGTGGACACCCGATTGCGGAGGCGGGCTCAACGACAACTCCGAGAACCGCCGTTCTCTTCACAGACTCAATTGCCTTCACTCACCAGTAAAACTGTTTTCTCTCTTCCAGAGCCCGAGCCCATGCAGATGGGAAGGTTCCGACTCTCACAACAGGAGAGGCAGAGACGTAAGACAGAGGGATTGTGTTTATACTGTGGTGGCCCCGGACACATCGCAGTACAGTGTCCAGTAAAAGACAACGCCCGCCAGTAGGTAGGAGGTTATTGACGGGTGCCATCAAAGGACACAAATCCTCTTATTCGAGCACTCATCTTTCCTAACATTATCACAGTACACACAAATTTGGAATGAAATATTAGATGGTATTTTTATAGAGAAAAAACTGAATAAAATACTTTTATAATTAACATAACACTTGGCTAGAGGATAAGATGCTCTATTTAAGTAGGTAAGTAGCACACTATGGTTTTAAGAAGTCTATATATTATATTATGCAAGCAACAATGCAATTTTTATTAGAAGTTAAATTCCCAAATAACTATTCATCAAATGAAAGCATATGAAAGCATATGAAATAAAATGTTTATGTAATCAGAACCTGTATTTGAAATTTAGAGCATCTCTGAACTCTGAAGGCACTTGTGTAAATAAATCATTATTTGCACTAAGAAAACTTAATACTCCAAGGCTGACCTTGAGTGAAGCTTTGATGATTTTTTAGCATAAAGTGATATTAAGGACGTCCAGGTAAGAAGCTTAACTCTGTTTGAAGGTCATCTGAAATCTCTTTAAAACAACATCTACCAGTCAATTTATGCTAATATTTTATTTTGATGATAAGAGATTTTTTTATGGCCTTATGCTAATATACAATAAATAATATTTTAGCAGTTTACCAGAAGGATTTGAAAGGTGTAGTGATCTCAAATCCTTTCCTCTCAACTTGTTTCACACACGCAGCCGTCAGGTCCACAACAGTGATGGCCAGCCCAGCATTAAAGTCCTGTGAAGAACCAGCATAAACATCAAAACACTCAGTTTTTCATATCCAAGAAAATTCCAACATCAGGAACTAAAATAAAGAAATGAACACAGTAGAGTAAATAAAACAGATCAGTGACTGCTATGTGAATGGACCAAAGCATTCACAGTCAGACATTATGTGTGTCTGTTTAGAACACTGTAGCTGTAGTGAAGTCTAACTATAAAAATTGTACAAATGCAAGGACACTGTTGTGTGAGAAGGGTCAAAGGGAGCACAGAACAGACACTGAGCTCACTGGAGGGTGAATACCTGCTGATCCATTGATCAGAGTCTGAATGAATGACAAAGTTTATTTTACACAAGAACAAGCAGGAAACACACAACAAACTTTCTTTACAGACTTTACCAGTTACTTCAAGGGCAATGGCAATATGAAAACCTCTCGGAGGAACAAGGGATGATTCTGGGAGGAAAGATTATGGGACAAGAAAAAAGTTAATTGTGTAATATTATGAAATGTTAGTCTAGTTTTCTTTGGTTTACAGGGGACCTGGGTGCCTTTTAAGTAAACTAAGCCAAACGGCATTTGAACTTGACAGCTGTGTGAAAAAGATCAGCATCTGACATTTTGATAATGACACCTTTTGTGTTTTGAGAGTCATGAGGGCCAGTTTTTGAGTGAAAGCAAATGATGTGTGAAGATAAACTCAATTGGACTGACCAAATATAGTTGTGAATATGTGATGTCTATCACAGCGTTTAAGACACACTCGCTTTTACATGCAAGAATCTAGAAAAGTGTATAATACACATATACTGTATATATATATATATATATATATATATATACAGTATATGTGTATTATACACTTTTCTAGATTCTTGCATGTAAAAGCGAGTGTGTCTTAAACGCTGTGATAGACATCACATATTCACAACTATATTTAGTCAGTCCATAAATATAGTTGTGAATATGTGATGTCTATCACAGCGTTTAAGACACACTCGCTTTTACATGCAAGAATCTAGAAAAGTGTATAATACACATATACTGTATATATACAGTGGGTACGGAAAGTATTCAGACCCCCTTAAATTTTTCACTCTTTGTTATATTGCAGCCATTTGCTAAAATCATTTAAGTTCATTTTTTTCCTCATTAATGTACACATTAGTGCTGTCAAAATTAGCACAGGTGATTGATTTTTACAGTTTAACGGCATTACAAATATTTAAAGCAGTTAATGCAGGGGTGGGGCTAGGGTTGGCCACTTTAGATACATTTTAGAAAAAATGTGTGATTAATTAGTAATTTTTTTTTTAATCAACTGACAGCACTATATATAATTTTATATATGTGAGCAGGGTGAATTTTTCAAAGCAAAGGCCCGTTTACACCAAGAATGACAACTGTAATGACAACTATATTATAGTGTTCACACTAATGATAACAGTGATAACAGTATTACACAAGCTGTAGTGTTGTCGCCTGCCACTTTAAATGCTCAAGCTCATTAAAGCTGTGTGGTTTCGGTGACTGTCATAGATTTGATCATTTATCAGCTGGGAAAAAAAGTCATTCTGAAAGTGATTCTAATGATATCATAATAGTTATGGTGTGAACTTTCCTATTCTTATAGAATTAGAACAACTGTTCATAATTTACAGTTATCATTACAGTTATCATCATTAGCCTTAAGACCTGTCTTTTATATTATATTATATATTATTATATTATATTTATATTATATTTATATTATATTTTTATATTAATTAAAAGGAAAACTCCTTCAGAGAGACTCAAAGGTATAGGTTAACATGCCTAATATAAAAAGACAGTTAGGTGTGAACAGAAGGTGTGAATACAGTTAAAGGTAAAAAAAGAGAGTGCGAAACCGATGCATTGATGAACTCTTAACAGCAGTGAGTTCATGACCAGAGCAAGACAACATACTTATTTTACATGATAACTTTTTGTCTCTTCAACATTTCTTGCTTTTTATGCTGTCCGAAACATAAAAACAGCACCCAGTCTTTTATTTCAAAATAAAAGGCTCTGTTACCAGCCTAACGGAATGCCTTGCACATTACAACAAAGGCAGCTGCCTTCCCATTAAGCATTGCAAATAATATAAAACAACAAAAGAGACTTAAGTGACCATTTGGAATATTCTACATAAACAGAAACTCTCACACAAACCATACAGAAAGTTTTATATTTTTTAACGGTACATTTAAATTCAATTGAACCAGTTTTCTCAATACTTTTATGTAGACACAACATATTTATTTTGTACGAGTACAGACAATATTTTGTCTTCGTTTGTGCTGGATTGTTTCATTTTTTTTCATTCCCCTAAATTTATAGCAATAGAATTGCCTTCTCTTTCAAGCATACTTAGAATTTGGCCAAAATAAGTTATCTAAAACTTTTCACAGATCAAGTGGTTTGCATGCCGTGTTATAGGAGTTACATTTGCATTTTAGCAACCTGGATTTAAAAAAGAAAAAAAAAAAGACTGACAGTTTGTTGGTCAATCCATTATGCGCATATGTGCTTCACTTTTTGTTTGTCCCGGTATACACATTATGAATGTTGCACAGCCCTGATTTAAAAACAGCACAACAAAATAAAAAAAACAGGGGTCTTGAGACATTTTATCTCAAGATTGAACTAGTTTTAATCTGATATGGTATATTAAAACTGCAGCACATGCTGCCTACACTCCATTGCAGTGAAACTATCAAATTAAATGCAACTAAATGCATTTCTAATAAATATCTAATGACAAACCAAATAATTGTCCTTTTAGACATTAGCCATCAGAGACCCTTTGAAGTGGCCATGTGTTTGGTCTTTTTGTGTTCTTTGCTATGGAGCAAATAGTTTAAGTAAGGAAATCAAAAATCGATGCAGCACTAAACTGTAGTGGCGTCACGTGACTTGGGCTTGCCTGTTAGGTTGACTTTCATTACCTTGGGGAAACATCATGGCCTGACCTCAGAGGAGAGAAGGGCAGTACACTTCATCCTAGCCAAGATGGGAAGGGGGGAAAAAAACAGCATCCTGGGCAGCTCGTTCATCTTGTTAAATTAAATACTCCACTTCACTGAACATGAACCGAGCTACCCACCACCGCACCTTTTTCCTCTCTCTCCATCTTTATGCTCCTTTGTGTTTTCTTCATCCCTCAACAGCCACTGCTGTCTTCACCTCCTTCTGTTATGCCTCCGTTCTTGTCTCTCTGCCCAGTTCCTCCTTCACTCCCTCTTTCTCTCATTCCATTTCTTCCGCCCATGCCCTCTTTTCCTCCATTCCCTCCCGTTTCTCTCACCACTCTCGAAGTGATTGCCACGGAGAGGATTTAATGCAAAAACAATACAATCAATTTCCATTTTCACTGCTCTCTTTCTCTTTCTCTCTCCCGCATGCTAAATCGGCTGACGAAAAACAATTTCCTTGCAGAATGAAGACAAAGATGTTTGCTTGTGTTAATAAGGAAAATAATGAAAGACAAACAGAGATGATAAAGTGTGTGTGAGCGTGTGTGCCACCTATTAATACAGAATAACATTCTCAGCTTAATCTCGTTTAAAACTGAGACCGATTGGGCATAGATCACATACAAATGCATGCGAAATGTCAGGGCTTGTGTGTGCATTGTAATAACTATACTCTCAGCATATGGGCTCATTCACATAGAAGGGAGCACAAAACAGACGTCACATACTCTAAAACATGAAGTGTGAAAGTTTCAGTTATTTCACTACCGTGAGAAAACAGTGTCCACCTATCTCCACACAAATAAAGGGTGTATAAGGAAAATGTAAGTAATTAAACACAGTAATAAAGTTTAAATAGATATAAATAGAGTTTACACAGAGACAGACAGACAAGAGATGTGAAGTCTGAAGGTACTGTAGACACAAACAGACATTAAAGACATTAAAATCTAAGTAATCAATTTACAGAGTAATAAAGTAATAGAGTTTGCAGATAGATAGATAGATAGATAGATAGATAGATAGATAGACAGACAGACACAGACAGATAGATAGATAGATAGATGGCTTAGCACAGTGAAGTTTGAAGGTAGATAGATGGACAATTATATACAGTGGGTACGGAAAGTATTCAGACCCCCTTAAATTTTTCACTCTTTGTTATATTGCAGCCATTTGCTAAAACAAAGGAAGAAAAATTATAATTAATTTACAGAGTAATAAAGTAATAGCGTTTACAGAGAGATAGACAAGAGCTAGATAGCCAGACAAACAGACTGGTCGAAGCAATGGTTTAGCTACTGAGACTTACAGATGCAAACAGACAGATAAAGAGACAGACAGACAAGAAGTAGATAGATGGACATACAAGCTGGCCGAAGCAATGGCTTAGCACAGTGAAGTTTGATGGTGGACAGATAGACAGGTTGGGGGACCCAGGACATGGTTGTTGAGGTATGGTACTTATTTTAAACTCATGTGGACAGCAGCAGTATGAATCCAGATCAACATTTAACAATGTCAAAAAGAACCAATATTTTTAAAAAAAACGCATATTCTATAGATCTACCTGGTCTGTTTTACAGAGTCTAAAGCTGGTTCCCATGAGGCTGAGGTAGACTCTTCCTTTGAGGCCACGCAGCTCGACGTAGCCACTCTTGTTTGTGTTATTTTTGCGAGGCTGATGGGAAATGGAGGGCTGGGAGCTCACAGCAGACTGGAGAACCTCTAGCCAATCCTGACGTTCTCCTTAGAGGGAAGACAAAAGATGGAGGGAGGTAAGAAGCAGAAGTGTGTGTGTTTGTTTGTGTGTGTGTGTGTGTGTGTGTGTGTGTGTCTGTGGAGGAACGCTGCAGTCTGTTTGATGTACGTTAGTGAATGCGCAGGTACGCGTGCGCGTGTGTGGAAAGACACCATGCCATGGGAATAAGAGGGAATGAAAAAGTGTCTAATATTATTGTTATACTTTATAAACTTTCAAATCTGCAAACAAAGCAGGTATGCAAAAGCCCCTGTGCCTCATTGCATTGTGTCTGCCTGTGTGTTTGTGTATGCTCGTGTGAGATGGGGGAAGGAAGCCTGTGAGGGTTCTCTTGTGCTGTGTTTAAATAGGGCTACAGGGGCTTGCACAAATTCATTGCAAGCACACACACTAGCCAAAAAACATTAACAGCTGGATACTCTTATCCTCTGCAGGTCTACAGCACCTGCCACATCTAGAGAGAGAGAGAAGGAGGGGGGGGGGGGGGAGAGAGAGAGAGAGAGAGATCTCATTTCATTAAAGGTGAGTGTTTTTGCATACAGTGTATTTTGGACAACACTAAAATGTGCTTGTAGTCAGCAATAGAGTTAGGCGCAATTTAAGTGTTGGTGCATCAGATATATAACCACATTTCACTCCTTAAGTTTAGTTTGTGTAGCCATATCTATCAATTCCACTTATTCTATGTACTACCTCAATTTTTTGTTAATACTTGGGTTGTCAATTGCCAACATTTTTAATTGTGATTAATCATAATTATTTGTTAATTAATTGAGTTAATTTTTAAGGAAAGAACACAATACGTAAATATGTTGGATTAAACAATAACACTCATCTGTGCTCTGCATATGTACTGTATAAACTAAAGACACTTGAGAGGGGTAGATTTTTGGCAATTGTGCTCTTTACTCGTCTCACTTGCACATCTCATTCTGTATTCCTCACACTACCCAGGAAATGCAAAGACTGAAATAAAAACCTGCAATAATGAGATAATATAACAACTTTGCCCACACTTTATGGACATGTGTAAAGCTGCTTTGCAAGACTGCTGCTTGCGAGTGTCACTGGTAGGTGATAATTAAATAACACCATAAAAAAGTATAAATAACTTTACTTTTGTTAAATATTCCACCTGGGTTTATAAATATTTATAAATATGATTGAATCCATTAAGAACATTTTCTCTATTTTTTATTGATTAATATCAGTTCTCAAAGACAAAAGTTTAGCTGGTAAGCATAATCCCATTTTTATAAGCAATACAGTTTGGGATCAGTAAGAAATTAATAATTTTATTCAGCAAGGATGCATTAAATTGATAAAAAATTCCACAAAAAATATTTATAATGTTATATTTATAATGTTAATGTAATAAAGTATTTATATTTCAAATAAATAATTTCCTTTTTAACTTCCCATTCATCAAATAAACCTAAAAAAGTCATCATGGTTTCAATAAAAATAAAAAACAGCACAACTATTTTCAATATTTATAACTAGAATAAATGGTGTTTATGATCAAATTTTAAAAAGAAAAGTAATTTTTTATTGTAACAATATTTCACAATATTCCTGTATTTTTGATCAAATAAATGCAACCTTAGTGAGCAAGAATTCTTCAACGGTATTTAAAAAAAAATTTACTCACTCAAACTTTTGAATGGTAGTGTAAAAATAACATTTAGTTTCAGGTGACTGATTCAAAACAACCTGACAGCAGAACTGAACACCCACGAGTCGCCATGAGCAAAGATGGCAGATTATATAGACAGTTCCTCAAAAAAGAAACAGCATTAAACAATTTTAATTTACTTTGACAGCCCCAGTTATCACCGAAAGTGACCATGGCTTCAACACATTCTCATAGACAGTTACAAACTGCACTTTGCCATTACTTACAAAGTTTCAAACCTCGAAAATTGGTGGCTGCAAAAGATATTCTTCCCCTTTATCCATGAAACAGTTGTTATTCCCAAAATATTACACTCTATTTGAAAGAAGAGGCCTGCACAGCTAAAGACTGCCCCAGAAAGAGTACACAGCCATGAATGTTTCCTCACACACACACACACACACACACACTCTCATCTAAATGATCCCAGTGTGCTCGATCTCTAGCACTAATTCTCATTCTTGTCTTTTGTGCTCATCCCATGACCACCCACTTCCAGCTCTTTCATTCACTCACTCATTCCCTCTCTCCTCCTCGCTTGTGTTTATCTTAAGATTGATGACTCTTTCAGACTGCTATAAAGCTGTTTAAAGATGCATGAGCAGATTGGACCAGCGCTCTCTCTCTGTCTCTGATTTTTATTTTATTTTTTTGATGGCGGAAAGTACAGTGCCTAAACTGACTTCCCTCAGAGTAATTTACTTACCATGGGTCAGAGGTCATTACACAAGAGCTGGGGATAAAGTAGGTACTGAGGAGGCCATTATTTGCTGATATTCTGGGACACTATGGCACACAGCAGTGCTATTAGCCTCAGATTTACCACAGTAATTGCAATGGGGAAAGCACAGGCTGTGTCAATAACATGGTAATTGATTGGCTAATGGTGAACTACTCACCCTTACATTGTTCATTTTACGGCAAGATGTCTGAAAAAGTCTTAATGGCAATGAGAAAGTCAAGTTGCTCCATTTACTAATAATGACAAATAATATATATGACATACTTAGGTCTACAGACATACAGTGGCCACAGAAAGTACTTGGAGATTCACGACACACAAATCTACAAATATTTTCACCAAAAAATAGCACAAAATCATGCTAAAATGCTATTATTAATGTAATTTCTCGTAATCAGCCTTTTCACAGTCTTTAAATCAGGCTTCAATGCAGCTTAAAATGAATATTAAGAAAAATATCCCATAAAATACACAGGCAATGGTGTGGCAACTATATGCACCAACAGGGTGTTTACTGTACATATTAAATCTACAGCTGTCATCATAATCATCATCATCATCATCATCTCGGTTGGTTCAGCTCTATGTCATAATATTGTGATCTCCTTGAGTCTGGCTGGCTTCTCCTCTCTCTTTCACTCTCTCTGATTCAGTGTGGAAGATCTACTCAGAACATCTTATCTTATAGCAGAGATGGTAAAGTGATAAAAATATGAGTGAAAAGATGATAAAAGATCAAGAGTGAGAGTGGGAGTGAATTGGTTTAAAAGAGATTAACAGAGGGGGATCGAAACGTGAGACTGACAGAAAAGCAAAGAGGCTCACCTTCTTTCTCTGCCCGAAACACAAAGGTTCTTATAGACGTGACCACCTCAAACTTATTCTCACCCAGAGCACGAACTTGTTTAACTGCTGAAATAGGTATTAGGCCCTTCGAGTACATCTCCTGCAAAGAATGAGGGAGACAGAAAAATAATTCATAGCACAAAGTGCATATGGACAGATTACAAACTACCAGTCACAAGACTGGACACACTTGACTGAATTTATGTCTCTCGTGATCTCAAAAACTTCTTTCTTTCTAAAGGCTTAGTAAAACAAAACACAAAACACAATGCAAAAAAATAAAATCAAACAAAGAGCAAACAAAACACAAAATGAAACCAAATAAAAAGCTAATTAAACAAAACACAACACTAAACAAAAAACAAACAAACAAAACAAAACACCCATTTTGGATGCATTGGTTCAAACTAAAGGCTAACAAATATCACAAAGCAAATCCAAAAGAAAGCTAACAAAACAAAACAAGGCAAAACAAAATGAAACAAAAAGCAAAGAAAAACACAAAACAAAAGCAAACTTTAAAAAAACACAAAACAAAACCAAACAAAAAAACGAATTATATATATATATATCTATAAACTTGATTGATAGTGTACAAACATATTGCAACATCACTCTCATACACTGTTTCCAACAGGGACCTCAAACCAGTTATAATGCATCTGCTTTATATAAAAAAAAAGAAAAGAGGGATTGAGTCAAGCACACACTCACACACTCAAGCAGGCATGATTCCTAATACCAGTCCCCAGCTAACAGGCTCGGCACTCCAGTATTTATAGTCTGATGTTTTGTAGGGAGAGATGAGGGAAACAGAGCTAGTTGTTTAGAGAAAGCAGTGTTTGGTCTCTCTGTGTGCTTCAAACCAACGTAAGCCTCCAAAGCAGCAGTAGAGCACTGTGAGACCTCCTTTAGTCTACAGAACTCATACACAGCACTCTAGCCGCTCTGAAACAGCAGACTGTGATGGATAGAAAAGGGCAAACACTGTGGAGAACTGAAAATGAAGAGGGAGGAGGAAAGGGAGACTTGAGATCTGTTCCAAAACCTAGCGTGTTGCCTACGCAGGTAACATTTTAGGCAACATAGGTGACAAGTCTGTTCTAAAAGATAGACATTTTAAGTAAGCAATCCTGTTTTGGTTGAATATTAAGGTAGCATTGCATACATCGCTTTACGAAGAAGGCAATTCCATAATGCACTGCAAAATGATAAAAGCATTATTACTTTTAGTGCCAGATTTTCTAAACAAGGGCAAATTAGTGTTAGAGTGTAATTTCACAAAAAGCGCCGATCGGAGGGAGAAATTCTGCGGATGATTTACTGACAATGCGCACATTAAAGAACACAAATGCAGCCAGATTATTTCTATAATGACCAGTGCAATCTACCAAGAGCAGCGCAAATTACCACCTACTTTAAGCTTTAATGGTGCAAATACCAGTAATTTGACTAGCGCAAACATTAGTAAATCACGTAGCATGATTCATTTTAATACTCTCCTCCCATAAATTTTGCATCTGAAAGGGAAACTCCTACAAATATATATTTAATAAGATCAGGTGCAAAAATATCCAAATATCCAAATGTCCATGCCTTTTTAGCGCTAATTCTTCACAACGCGTCTTTAGTAAATCCTGACAGTACTATTTTACCGTCAAAAGATGGTTTGCGCTGGTGCAAGCTGCTAGTGAATCTGGCCCATAGAGAGTTATTTGTATAATCCATAAATTGCACCTGTGTAGGTCATTCCAAAACACTCGGTTATGAGGTTTCACTTCAGTTAGGATACCTTAGAAAGGAGCTGCCTATGTTGACAGTAAGAAGTGATGTAGTTCACTGGGTTTAGGAATAAGGCTAGAGTGAGCAACAAAGACAGGGACAAAAGACAAGGGAAAAGAGTGAAAGAGGGAAAAAAAGAAAGATTAATTTGTCCATTTCAGTTGGCTCTTAATTATTATGATGACCTTGCACTATTTCTAGAACTCGTCCATACAGAAATAGAAGAGAAGATTTAGTGAGGGACCCCCTCCTCAGCTAGCGCAAATGGAAGAGGTAATGCCAAAGATAGACAGTAAGAGAGCCGATGAGGGAGAGAAAGCGAGAAAGTAGAGAGAACGAGAAAGAGAGGGATATGATAGCTTAGGGATTGCTTGATAGAGAGAGAATGAACCAAGGGATGAAGGAAGAGAAACTCACAAAGCAGAGGGAGCGTAAGATTGCGAGCAAGAAAGAGAGAGAAAGAGGGGTCAGAGAGAGCACCATCTCCTCAAATTAAGGCAGCATGTTAACAACGATGGCTGCAGCTAACCCTAATTATGGTAGGGGGCAGCCATCAGCTCTCTCCGGGATTTCACTCCTTGCTCACTCTCTCCAATTCTGTATCCTTCCCACCGCCGAACTCGCCGGCATATTAATGAGACTTCCTCTGTCTAAAATCTGGACAGCAGCGGATGAGAGGAAAGGGGGATAAAAGTTAAGAGGTGTGCATGTTTATAGGAAGCTAAGTGGCAATAATGAGGAGCTCTCTAAGCTGCCGTTAATTATTCATTATAATTACAATTTTCAGGGTCGGAACGATGAAGGGGGCTTAAAGAGTACATGTGAAAACGCAAGTGTTTAGAGATGGTTTAAGCACTTTGGTGTGTGCTTATACAAACACACATATAACAAAGACGTATACGCTGCACAAAAAGTTTATAGCAGGATTTATGTGTATGGCTTGCGCAAATCTGTGACGACGTGTCACGCACACAGCAGTTGTTCTATATATGCACTTTGATGTTCATGAACACATACATCCGAATGTGCGATAGAGTTCACTGATGAAGTCTGCATTCGTTCAGAGAGAACCAGAGAGTGCCTGTATTGTCATTAGCATTTGTTTTTACCAGCACTGGTTTAGTTCTGCAGTGGAGCCATGGGGACACCACCTGGCAGAGGGCAGCTAATGCACTTGAGTGTGGAAAATTACTTGTAAATGTATGGTGTGCAGAAATATAATGTGAGAAATATGATGCATTTGCATTTTTTGCAACATCCTACACTAGCCAAAAGCACACAGCTGAATGTAACATTCTAGAAGATCTTCTGCCATACGCTACCGTCAAAACTCTGAAATAATTATTATAATTATAATTTTCTTTATGTTCTTGAAAGAAGTCTTGAAAGCTTTATATTTACTGTGATGTAATACTCCAGTCTTCAGTGTCACACGATCCTTGAAGTATCTTTCTAATATACTGATTTGATACTCAGTTATTATCAATTAATTTTGGTGGTCAATTATTAATACTGGTTCTTATGGTCATTAATGCTGAAAACCATTTTTTGCTGCTTAATATTTTTGTGAAAACCGTCATGCAGGATTCTTTGATAAATAAAAATCTGAAAAGAAATTAGTAAAAATCTTTTTTAGATCATTATTAAAGACTTTGTTGTCATTTTTTATAAATTTATTTTGACCTTGCAAAATAAAATAAAAAAAATATATATTTTTTTATTTCTTAATCATGTAACACTGAAGATTAGAGCAATGGCTGCTGAAATTCAGTAAAATTTTCAAATATATTAAAGTAGAAAACAGTTATTTTAAATTGTACTGTAATATTACACAATATTACTGTTTTACTGTATTTTTGATCAAATAAATGCAGTCTTGATGAGCATAAGAGGCTTCTTTCAAAAAAAAAATTTTTAAATCAGCTATTTGACAGGTAGTGTATAAGTTGCAGATCATGGTAAGCTCACTTTTGCCCTAAGTTGGATGGACTACAACCATCAAAACCCGGGGGTGGGTGGTGAGAAAGCTTTCCACTGGCGCTCCCAGGGGACTTTTGAGCTTTACTGGATTTTCCACACAGTTGTACTTCAGATACAAGGTAACTGATCCAATTCCCAACCAAAACATCTCCACACACCCTGCCTACTGACAGGTAACACTCTAAACCTCTCTCACTCACACATACAAACTAAAACTCATGAAAATGTTACTTGGCTCCCTAGACGTCACAGACCTGGTCGCAAGGTTGATGAAACATCAGGTAAGTTTGTCCCCGAGGGTCCTACAGAGATCCAGTGGGAGTGCCGTGCTTGCCTCTCTCCCACGCTTAAGGAGGTCTCTGATTGATGACATCATTATGTGATGTCAAGAAGCGAGCAGTGATTGAGATTAACCATTTCAATCAGAGAAAAGAGACTGAGGAGAGAATGTGTCCGCTGAGGACAATAAGTTGGAGGAAACTTTCTTTGAAACTTTCCTTAGTATTCTTGATAAGTGATGCTTGTTAAGGCTAATTGCTTTATTTTTAATATATAGAAGGAACCAGTAAGCAACCACCAAACAAACAAACATAAGTGCAATAAAAACTGCTCAGAGGACCAACTTTTTAATGTCCTGGCAACTGCACAAAACACCACAGCAGAGCTTCATTGTGGCCACCACTCACACAAAACATTTAGTTATGAATGCAAAAGTCATCATTAACTCCTAATGCATGATGTCATCACAGAGAAGCCTGTCTTAATTTAGAAGACCCAGGGAACTCAGGGAGCTTGTGCTTACTATGCACACTTACCGCTAAATGCTGCCACTAAATCAGCCTCTTAAATGTGATGTGAGTGGATACTGACAATGGAAAATATGTTTCCTATAATTCCTAAATTAAGTGGCATTATACTAGGAAGTTTTGACTAACTTGTTTCTCTAGGCAAGATATACAGTTAGGAGCATATATATATTTGGACACAGCCACAATTTTTATTATTTTAGCTGCAGACCAAAACATATTCAAGTTGCAGTAATATAATGAATACAGGCTTAAAGTGCACTATCTGATCTTTAATTTGAGATTATTCACATCAAAATGGGAGGAAAGGTTAAAGAATTACAGCTCTTTAATATGTACCTCCCTCTTTTTCAAGGGATCATAAGTAATTGGACAGTTGACTCAAAAGCTGTTTCATGGACAGGTGTGGGCTATTCCTTCATTATTTCTACATCAACTAATCAGATAAAAGTTCTAGAGTTTATTCTAACCGTACCATTTGCATTTGGAAGCTGTGAACCCACATCATGTGGTCAAAGGATCTCTCCATGCA